ACACACACACACACACACACACACACACACACACACACACACACACAGGCATTTGCCTGTAAATAAAATTTTGAAAAAAGAAATTTAAAAGAAAGCAAGGTGTTGTAACACACACCTTTAACCCTAGCCTTCAGGGGGCAGAGGTAAACAGATCTCTCAAGAGTTCAAGGTCAGCCTGGTTACGTGGAGAATTCCAGAACAGCCAGAACTATATAGTGAGTCTCAAAAAACAGCAACAACAACAAAAAAAGATAATCTCTTCCTTTAATCCCAGCACTGGGGAGGCAGAGGCAGGCAGATCAGTGTGAATTCAAGACCAGCTTGGTCTACAAAGTGAGTCCAGGACAGCCATGGCTACACAGAGAAATCCTATCTCAAAAAAAAAATAATAATAATCATAATCTCTAAAGGGTTTTTAACGGGTGAAGGCGTGTATCTTTAAGCAGTCACCAGGACTTCTGAGGCTCAAGGGAAGCTTGGGCTGAGGGCATACGAGGGAGCTTGACATTCTCGCTTATGGTTCACCCCAAATCCCTACAATCCTGCATTCTGTGGCTGGATAGCAAATACCCACAACTGCTGGGCAGTGGTGGCGCACGCCTGTAATCCCAGCACTCTGGAGCAGAGAGGCAGGTGGATCTCTGTGAGTTCAAGGCCAGCCTGGTCTACAAAGTGAATCTAGGACAGCCAAGGCTACACAGAGAAACCCTGTCTTGAAAAAGCAAAACAAATGCCCACAGTATAGCAATTTAAACCCACAGGTGTCTAGCATACAGGTAGTGTAGTGTAGTGTAGTGTAGTGTGTGTGTGTGTGTGTGTGTGTGTGTGTGTGTGTGTGTGTACGCCTGAAGATGGGGACAGGACTGGACTCTGAGACCCTCGGTTGTCCAAGCATCCCCTGTGACCTCATCTAAGGTGTGTGACTGGCAGTACCTTCTTCAGCTGTTCCCCATCACCTGCCACCATCAACTGTGTCCTCTGTGTCCATGGCCTTATAGTCTCACTAATCCGTAGCCACTTACCGCACTAACCAGGGACTCCTCCTCCCTGTGCTGCGGCCACCACCTAAGCTGGCAGGCAGGGGGGTGGCTAACATTAGTGAGCCCTGACAACATGCTCAGACCGCACCAGACCATTGGGAGACCCTGGTCAGAGGAGGTGGACAGTGCTCCTGAGGGTGACACCCAAGGCTGTCAATTGCCTTGTGCTTTCAGTGCGCACGCGCACACACACACAGAGGCCCAGACACACAGAGACACACATAGGCATACACCTAAAGCCCCAAACAGGACTCCTTCTTTCTTCTGCTTATGCTGCTGCTTGAGTAGAACCAAGAAGGAGTGGCCCAGGCTATGAGCTGCCACCTGTGCCCAGCCTGCTGGGATGACATGGTGGAGCCACTAAGACCCAGCAGCTTCCTGTCTTTGTGTTGGGGGAGGGATTGTAGACAGGACCAGGAGAGGGGACAGTCAGCTTAGGGGCTGAGCCACTTGGTCTCTTAAAATGACCTCCACAAGTGGAGGGTGGACACAGCCGTGTGAGGATTCTAGGTTGCCTGGAGAAGTGGGAGCTTGTTTCTGGGCCTCAGGTGCCTCTTCCCACCTCACAGCTTGGCCACCAAACACGCAGGGTGCCTTTTCTGCTTGTCTGACGTGGGAGAAATTTCATTGCTGTTGTCCCTGGAACGGAATCCTTTTTTGAATCATCCCTCTGACCTTCCATCAGAGCAGGAAGGAAGTGACTGTTCACCCCTCCCTCTGGGCCATCTGGGACAGGGACTGGGCTTTGTGTGCACATCTGTCGCCTCAGCACCGAGCTGGCTGAAGCAGGGGGACCGTTAGTTCAGGCCTAGGCTATGTCATGAGACCCCCGTCTCAAGGGTTGAAAAAAAAAATAAACCTCACTGGTAGGGCCCTATTCTCAACTTTCTATCATAAAGTCACGAGCTCTAATGGGTGCCCTGCCTTGGCCTTTCCTTATCAAAAACTAGAATGTGCCCCTTGGGAGATGGCAGACATGGCAGAGTATTCGCTTCACGAGCATGGGGACCTGAGTTTGAGCCCCAGAACCCACATAGGAAACCAGGAGTGGTGGCGCACGCCGGTAATCCCAGCACTTGTAAGCAGGGACAGAGGAACTCTGGAGTTCACTGGCCACTTAGCCTAATTGGTGATGGCCAGAATACTGGGGACCTTTTGTCGGAGGTGGTGGACAGCAATCTTGAGGGTGACAGCCTTGACTATCTGTTGGCCTACGAACACGCATGCATGCACCCAACAAAGGAATAATTTTTCTTTCAGTGCTATCTTGTTGCATGTATGTATGGCCTTGCCTTTGTATACTTATGTGAGAATGTACAAAGTGAAGACAGCAAAGGAACCAAGGCCCACTGTTGTCTTTCAGACTAAGGTTCTTGTGGAATTTAGAGAGCTACGCTCTTTGGGATTCATGGAGGAATTGTTTTCCGGTCTTTAGGGTGCTCTTCCTTCCTGCCTGCCTTCCTTTGTCAATTACATGTACTCTGTATGGCACGTAGGCACACGCATGCCGTGGCACACGTGTCAGAGACAACTCTCTGGAGCCAGTTCTCAGTTTCTGCCTTCACAGGTTCCAGGGATCAGACTCAGGTCATCAGCCTGGGCAGCAAGTGTCTTCCCACTGAGCCATCTTGCCAGCCCAGCCTTTGATCTCTAAAGGAAGCTTTGCACGCTGTTTACTGAGCACTTCCTCTGTGTCACTCTCGTTAGTCACCGCCTAGGTGCCTGTGGCTCCTCTCCGGTCCTGTGAGCACCACTGCATTCAGTTACCCCGCACTCCTAGAGGCCAAGGCCATGAGTGGTGCACACAGGAAGGGACCCTGGCTGTTCCGTGGCTTAGTTTGTGCGCAGCAGAAACATTCATCACTGAAGACCCTCCTCGCTCTGTGTGGTGAACCATACAGGATGCTTCTAGAGACTGGATTGCCCATCCTTCCATGCCTCCTCTCCTCAGGACATAATGTCTTTACAGACAGCACCCAAAGGCCCTTGGACAGTATGTATCAGAGGCAAAACCGCATTCTGGCCAGGGTTTCACTTTTAGCCCCAGCCCTTGCTGCTGGTGTGGCCTGGAGACGCCAGTCCCACCATCCACATGAAAAGGCTGCAGGGAAGCACCAAGAAGAATTTGAACCTGGAGCTGGACTGTGGGAATAGCGGGTGTTTGGTTTACTTGTTTGAGGCAGTTTCCTCGTATCACAGGCTGGTCTCAAATGGGCTCTGTAGCTGAGAGTGGCCTTGAACTGTTGATCCTGCTGCCTCCGCTTCCCAAGTGGGGCCTCATGCTGCATGCCAGACAAGCGCTGTAGCAGCCGGGCCACAGCTCCAACCTGAGGGGATTCTTTTTGCTTGGTTGTTGTTGGTTTTTCTCTGAAATAGAGCATTGATCTATAAGCCTAGCTGGATTAGTACTCACTGTGTAGCCCAAGTTGGCCCTGAACTTGTGGTAATCCTCCTGTCTCAGCTTCCCAGGAGCTGGTATTATAGATGTGTACCACCACACCTGGCTTGTTTCCAAACTACGTGTACTGTCTTCTGTGACCCAAAGCCACTATGGGAAGATTTGGCTTACACATCAAATCACAGTCCATCACTAAGGGAAATCAGGGCAGGAACTCAAGCAGGGAGCCATGGGGGAGCACCGCTCGCCGCCTCACTTCTGGTGTGCTCATCTCTGTTTTTCATACTACCCCAGGACCACCTGCTGCCCAGGGTGGCCCTGCCCACATCAGTCATTCATCAAGAAAATCCCTCACAGGTCTGCCTCCTGGCCAGTCTGATGGAGGCACTCCTCAATTGATAGTCCCTCTTCCTGGGTGACTCCAGCTGTGTTTAGTCAACAAGCAGCACACAGACACCGTCTGCCTTCTTAGACTTTCCTGTTGGCACAGCAGGATAGCCCTGCTGCCCCGCCCCCACCCCTAGTTCCATCCTTTTGTCCCTCACTCTGGCTTCCTCCATCAACACTGAGCTCTGTTTTTCTTCATGACAGGGTGAATCAGTGAAGTACTTCCTAGATAACTTAGACCGGATTGGCCAGCTGGTGAGTAGTCCCCTCTCCCCACTACCCAGGTCTACCATCCACGGTTACAAGACTTGATATGGAGAGCAAAGCAGACAGTGGGCTCCAGCAGCACCGTGGGCCAGCTCATCACATCCCTTGCTATGACTTGTCCCCGCTCAGCTCCATGTACCTGGTCTTAGGGAAGAAACTGCCGTATGAGAATGGCTTCACCCCTGTGAGAAACAGAGGGCTGTGGCCAGGGCCAAGGGAGGCTTTCCTGTCGCTCCTTCTGGTAGAGAAATTCTAGCATGTGGCAAAGCAAGCGGTGATCATTCACAACCAACCTCAGCTAGCAGCCTGCCTGCCGGGAGCGCCTCCATTCTCACCGCTTCCTCAGTCTCTCAGGTCTAGATGCTCTGGGATCCCAGCACCTCAAGGGCCTAGGCAAGAGGATCACCTGTCTCAGTAAAACATAAAAACAGCATCGGTGCACATGGCTGACAGAACTGAAAGCATAGTCACTGAAAAGCCCTGCCCTTGTGCTCCTGAAAGACCAGCAGAGCGCCCCAGTGCCCGCCAGCAGCCAGGCAGGTTGGAGACTTCACCAGCACCTGGTGAATTTTCTTTGGTGATATTGTTGCTTTTGTACCATTTTGAACTGACATCCTAATGAGCCCCACTCATGGCAGATGGTAGCGTCACTGAAGTGCCTGTTGTTCTGTAGATTTTCTCCTCTCCGCTCTTTCCCTCCTTTTGATTTAGTCACTGAAATGCCCATATTCTTTGGGCCCATATTATTCATCCATTTGAGCATTTTTTTTAAGATTTATTAATTATTTATACAGTATTCTGCCTACATGTGTACCTGCAAGCCAGAAGGGGGCACCAGATTTCATTTGAGATAGTTATGAGCCACGATGTGGGTGCTGGGAATTGAACTCAGGACCCATTTGAGTGTCTTCATCTGGATCTCACTATTCTGTCCTCATAGTATGATGGACAATTCTTTTCTGTCCCCTATGACCTAGTAAGTTAGTCCAAACTAGTATTGGTCACAGCCTCTTGGCTTTTTGTGAGACTGTGACATGAGTGGACAAATGTTCTGATCCCTGAGGCCTTCAAAAGGCAGAATTAAAGGGTTTGAGAGTTGCCACAGTTAGGACCTTAAGGGTGTGGCTCAGTGGTAGAGCCCCTGCCTAGAACTAGAATCCCCCAGTGAGGGGCTGGGCTTTGGCTCAGTGGTAGGCCATGCCGGAGACTCTACATTTTAACTTTAGCTCCCAAAAAAAAAAAAAAAAAAAAGAAGAAGAAGAAGAAGAAAAGCTTCCAAGCCAAATACACTAAGTATCTCTTAGGTTTAATTTAGATCACATTACACAACCATTAGTCAGTGGGAAGGCTTTAAAATATATGTGCCCTAGAAGCAAATAAATAAATAAATAAACAAACAATATCTATATTAGAGAAACAAATGAAAAAGATGTTTAATTTCTTCTGGAGAAGAACACTGGACAAGATTTTACGTGAGGCCCAGCTGTAGGTTCTGGGCGTTCTGCCTCAAGCCAGAGAGCTTACATTCATTGGGAAATGAGGTGGTGGTTAATCCTGTTGTGAGATGCATCTGCACCTCTGCCAGGGAGACCTGCTTTGGCATTTGGTTAATTTTCTTGCAGAAGTCCTGCAGTCTTTGTGCGAGTTTCTGTATGCTCATCCTTTCCTGTTTTTCTTCCTCCTCAAATGTCTCCCTCACGTTTTCCAGAACTACTTCCCCAGTAAGCAAGACATCCTGCTGGCCAGAAAGGCCACCAAGGGAATCGTGGAACATGACTTCGTTATAAAGAAAATCCCATTTAAGATGGTGGATGTGGGTGGCCAGAGGTCGCAGCGTCAGAAGTGGTTTCAGTGCTTCGACGGGATCACGTCCATCCTGTTCATGGTGTCCTCAAGTGAGTACGACCAGGTGCTCATGGAGGACAGGCGCACCAACCGGCTGGTGGAGTCCATGAACATCTTCGAGACCATCGTCAACAACAAGCTCTTCTTCAACGTCTCCATCATCCTCTTCCTCAACAAGATGGACCTCCTGGTGGAGAAGGTGCGGTCGGTGAGCATCAAGAAGCACTTCCCGGATTTCAAGGGCGACCCGCACCAGCTGGAGGACGTGCAGCGCTATCTGGTGCAGTGCTTCGACCGGAAGCGCCGGAACCGCAGCAAGCCCCTGTTCCACCACTTCACCACTGCCATCGACACGGAGAACATCCGCTTCGTGTTTCACGCCGTGAAGGACACGATCCTGCAGGAGAACCTGAAGGACATCATGCTGCAGTGAGAGGCAGCCCGCGCCGTGGCCACGTGTCTCTGGTGTGTCTGTCACCTGCACGGACCCGCAGTGGGCATCTCGAATCCACACCATCCAACCCCTGGCTCAAGACCGCTGGCCTACCAGCCAAGCAGCGAGCTCCAGGCAAGAGGCCGTGGGAGTGTCAGTGACCGCTACTGAATCCGGGGACTGTGAAACTACTGAGTCCACACCACTGCTCCGGTGCTGATCCGCAGAACCTGGTGACACAGCTTTCTTCCTCCTTACAGAAACTGTTACTTGCTGACATAGCTTAACCAAGGTTCCGGTGTGCACAGGTGCGCGTGCTCATTAATGACAAACACAAACCCAGCTGGCCTTGCAGATAGCTCTTCCCTCTGACTTGCAGTTCCTCACTGAGACACACTAACTCAGAAGCTTGGCCTCTCGTTAGGCTGTAGAGGGGTGTGTGATGCTGCTAGGCTCAGCGTGTCCAGGCTCGGGCCACAGCGCCACCTCCCAAAGTGAACACACTGCCTTTAAAATTGTGCCAACACCCTCAGAGTCCCCACTCCAGGCCTATCAGGATAAGCCAAGGAGCCAAGCTGGGTGTCCCCACTTCCTGCTGTAGAGAGCAGGGTGGGAGCTGTGAGCCTGCCTTAATGCCGAGCAGCCCCTCCCCTTGTCTGCGTGCCCGGCGGGCCACAGTGTGAGAGGTGGCCTGCGGAGCGGCTGCGGCGAGCCTGTGTAAACACAGTGGTGCTCTCTCCTTCCCCACCCCTCCACAGTCAGTGGCAAAGACATAACCAAGTGGCCTTGTAGGTGGCTCCTATGCCTTACTTGACAGTTGGTGGCATGTGGCATCCCCTGTCTTGGGCTCTGGAAGTGGGCTCTCTTCATGCCTTGGCTGCTTGCTGGGCCCCAGCCACTGGCCCTTCAGGAGAAGCCCTGGGCTTTGCACGCCGCCCTTCACCGTTGCCTGCCTTCGCACAGTGAGCTCTGCTGTCAGGAGTTGCTGGCAGGCTGCTGTGCACACAAACCCAGTAGGTGCCCTCAGAGCTTGGGTCCAAGAGGGTGCAGAAGGCCGGGGACAGCCGCACAACCTGCTAAGCCTCGGCCTGGCCAGCTTCCTGGCAGGTGTCACACTTTTCCAGTATGTTTCATTCCGGACCAGCCCCTCTGTACATTAATAACTCTCTGGGGCTGGGGTGGGCCTTATCACTGTGTAGCCTTTGAAACAAAAGACAGTCTCTGGTCCCAGAGTGTTCTTTGGCTCACTGACACATCCAAGGGCCCTGTCTGCAGCCACCCTGCTCCCGACGCTTGGTCCCTGTTGCACCCTGGTCTTGGCTCCTTTCAGCCACCTGATACATAGGATTCTTGGAGCAGATGCTGAGCCAGGAGACGGGGGCTGCTTCTGCATTCCCTATTACTGCCGGGCTCTGACTAGCAAATAGGCATCAGTCTCTCTCTGTCTCTGTCTCTGTCTCTCTCTTCTGTGCTCAAGGCTTTAGATCAGCACATGCTGAGCTTTTCTTTGGGAAGAAAGCAGCCATTCTGCCTGCTTCACCAAGCCTTCACAAGCTGAGGGGATGTGTCTAGGTTAGTGCCAAGGACCAACAACCTTCTGAGGCTCCTGGGGGTCTCAGATCCATACATAGTGGGCATCCCTTGCCAGGTGCCCCATGTATCTCAGTCAGTGCCAAGACCCCAAGGGCACAAGCTGTTCCTAGCCACTGTTGGGGCTCTGTGACTGAGGTGAGTGTGGGGTTTCAGGGAGAGCGCTGTCCCTCTGACAGCCTGTCACCCGCAGTCCCGTACAGCATGTGAGCAGCGAGAGGTGAACTTGCAGCTGGCTGAGCAGAAACCGGTGGGTGTCCAGAGGCCCAGCGCCCTAGCAAGCTGAGCCTGCGTGTCCTCCCTGTTAGGAGACCACCCCCCTCTGTGATCCGTGTCCTCCCTGTTAGGAGACCCCCTCTGTGATCCGTGAAGTGGTGCAATTGGAAAAGGAGATAGTGTGTGAGAGGTGAGGCTGGGGTCATTTACAAGTTTCTACACATAGATGGTAGGTTTGTCTCCCAGACCTTAGGCTTTTGTATTTTTTTTTTTTTAATTTTAATTTCACTGTTACCCTTGACTATTGTCCTTTTTGTTGCAGTGTTGGAGAAGCAGGAAGTATTTTTGCCTCATCTATTACTGCAAAAAAATAAATGTAACAATAAACTTCCTAAAAATCAGACTGCTCCCTGCCTAAGCTATTTACGTCAGCATGTGGGGTGGGGTGTTCTGAGAGGCGTCCCTAAGCCCCTGTACAGAGGTTCCTCCAAAGCCCTTGACTCACACTGTAATTTAGAGAGGTCACTAGGATTTCTAGTCCTGCAATCACCCTACTTTGATAAGATCGTAATAATAACATAAAGGTCTGAGGAGAGGGCGCAGTCGGAAAACTGCTTCCCATACAAGCAGGAGGACCTGCACTTGACACCAGCACCACATGAAAAGCTGGCGTGGTGCATGTACTTGTAACCCCAGCCCTGAGGAAGCAGAGACAGGGACAGGCCCCAGGAAGACACCTTGTCTCAGTAAACATGGTGGACGGTGCCTGGGGAACAGCCCCAAGGATGGCTTCCACACACAAATAAGAACGAGCCAGGCTGATGGCTTGTGACTGGCCGGCCTGGGTCTGGATCTACCTTGGTTTGTTGGGGTCTCGCTGGGCAGTAGCCCAGGGCAGCTGCTCTGCACGTCACACCTTGTTGGCACTAATGGGTAGGTCTGGCGTGAAGATTTGAGCATCACATCTCTCGATATTGGTCAAAATGAGTCCTTGGTTTTTCTTTGCTTAATGTAAAACATAGGTTACTATCAAAGGTACAGCCTTAAAGTTTTGCTCTGTTAATTGCAAATTTTAATTCCATGCACCTGAGCCTGGCAAGTCAGAGAGCCATCATATATGCCCTTTTTTAAATGCAAGTCCCCAAAACACATGACGTGACGTGGTATGTATATTAAAACACGCCGTTATCTATGTAAGGTGTCTTACACCTCAGGAAGTAGAGGCTGAAGGAGCAGGAGTTGAAGGCCAGCCTGGGGGCCCTGAGACCATACCTCAACAAAAAGCACACATGAAGGGGCCAGGGGAATGGCTCAGCTGATAAAGACCCGAGTTCAAATCCCCAGCACCCACATCAAATGCCAGGCATGTAACCCACAGTGCTAGGGTTACAGTCATGCTCCTGGGACCCTAGCACTGTGAGGACAGAGACAGGAGAGTTACCAGCGCTTGCCAGGCCCCAGTGTAGCTCCTGTGAAACACCCTGCCACAAAGGAATAGGCAGGCAGAGAAAGAGCAAGACGCTAAGTCTGTCCTCTGGCCTGCGCCCAGGCACATGGGCATGTCACCCCAACACACTAAGTGACAAAGGAATCGCTCACATCACAGAAACGCCGAGAACCACCAAAGTGCCGCATGAGCTGGTGAGATTAGACATTTGCCACACCAGCTGGATTACTGGGGAAAAATAAACTGTCTCCTGCCTCTGCCAGGCAGTGCCATGAGCAACTCAGGGAAGCGTGGTGGTTAGGGGCTTCCTTTTCTAGCCCTGGCGCTGATTGGCACCCTTTCACTAGCAATGAGTTTGCCGTATTTCTTTAATGGATGCGGTCCCAGCCATTCCCACTCCTGACAGAGCTGTTCCACAGGACTGACGTCTCAGGAGCTGGCTTTCTCCTTTCACTCCGTCCTTGGTGTGGCGGTTAGTTTTAGTGTTGACCCCCCGAATCCCGAGACTCTTGGCAACAGTCTCCAGGGGTTGTCCGGATACAGTTGGCCTGTGGGCACGCTATTGGTAGCTCACTGACCCTGGAGCTGGGCTGGCACCCAGCAAACCCCAGCGAGCCTCCTGTCTCCCATCCCCCTCCACAGCGCTGGGCTTACAGGTGTCAGTGCCCATGCATGGCTTCTTATGTGGGTTCTCAGGGATTTGAACTCAGATCCTCATGCATGAGGAGGCAGGGTCTCATGAATCCCACAGTGGCCTCTCATTGTCCATTGCTGTCTAGCTAAGGACGACCTTCAACTTCTGCTGGTCCTCTTGCTTCCATCTTCTGAGGGCTGGGCTTATAGCTGGGTAGCATCAGGCCTAGTTTATAAAAACCCATCACTGAAAATGGAACCCAGGGCCTCCTGAATGCTAGGCAAGCCCTCTGCTACATCCCATGTAGCTTGGGCCTGAGCTACATCCCAGGCCCAAGAACCCAGCTTTCGAAATGTCCTACAAGAATGGCAAAGCAGCAGTGGACGGGGCTGGCAGCCCTTCCCTCGCTCAGCGTTCTCCAGCATCACCTCTCATCAATGGCTGTTGCCCAAAATAACTCAGGTTTATTTTTGAGCTCAGCTCCTTGGGTAAGAGGCAAATGAAAACAAGTTTTAAGTCAAGAGGCTTGTTTTAAAAGGCAATTTCCAAGAAGCATCTGGGGGTCACTGTGGGTTCGGCCCCACCCAGCTACCGTGTTCCCTGGGGTAGGAACCCTTTCACCAGGCAGGGTACACGCTCCCTGCTCTAGGCTGCAGGGATTGAGTCCCCCCAGGGGTCTTGGTTTCATTAGTATTACTGTATCATTGTGTGTGTGGAGGTCAGAGGGCAGCTGTGGAATAGGTTATTTTTCCCACACAACATGTGGATTTGGAGATCCAACTCAGGTTTTCAGGCTCACACAGAAAGCACTTTCACCCACTGAGCCATCTCCTTGGCCTGGTTTTGTTCTACTTAAGTGTTTTCACCCACGTGTACCTCCAGCTTCCTGCCTTATGGAGCGGCAGCTGTGTGGAAGCTTCCAGAAGCTTCAGCAGAGCTGAGTAGGGGCTGCCCAGGAGGCAGGGTGCAGGTCCCAGCCATCTGAACATCCCCTTATCCTCAAGAGTTGGAAGCAAAGGCGGGGCGGGCCGTGCTGGGGTGGGGCAAACAGCCTGAATCTCGCTCATCTTGCCCAAGTGAGGCTGGGCTGGCAAGATGGCCAAACGGATGCGAGTGATTGCCACCCAAGCCTGACGACCGGAGTTCAATGCCCAGAACCCACAGGGTGAACTGACTTGTAAAGCCCATACACGTGCCATGGCACCCATGTCCCTCCATTCACCCGCATCTCACACACACACCAAGATCTCTCTCATAAGAGAAACAAGCTAGCAGATGTAACTCGGTCCCCTGCAGTTAGAGGCTTGGGCATAGCAGGGCGTGGGGATGGAGACCTGTAGGCCCTGCTCATGGAGGCTGAGCAAGATGGCAAGTTCCAGTTCAGCCAGGGGATAGAGTGATACCATCTCAGACAGTAAAGGTGCCTGCGACCCGAATCTGATCCCTAGAAAAAGCTGGGGTAGGGGCTGGAGAGATGGCTCAGCAGTTAAGAGCACTGGCTGTATTGACAAGAGGGCCTGGGTTCAATTCCCAGCACCTACATGGCAGCTCACAACTGTCGTAAGCCCAGGTCCAGGGGATCCATGGCACCAGAGATGCATGTAGCATGTATAGCATAGTATCTGTGCATGTAGGAAAATACATAACCACGAAATAAATCTTGCCAGGGCAGAGGTGGCGCACGCCTTTAATCCCAGCAAGGAGACAGAGGCTGGCACGTCTCTGTGAGTTCAAAGCCAGCCTGCTCTACAGAAGGCATTCCAGGATAGCTACAGAGAGAAACCCTGTCTTGGCAGTGGGAGGAGTGGGGGGGGGGGGCATGGTGGCACCTGCTTGTAATCCCAGCTTTGGAGAAGTGATAAACAGGCAGCTCCCTAAAGGCTCACTGGCCAGCCAGTCTAGCCTGCATTGCTAGTGAGAGATCCTGCCAAAAATCAAGATGGACAGTCTCAAAGAATTAATAAAATAGCAAGCTAGGCCAGGCGTGGTGTCACACGCCTTTAATTTCAGCACTGGCCAGGCAGAGGCTGTCTGTGGATCTGAGACCAGCCTGGCCTACATAGTGAGTTCCAGGAGAGCCAGGGCTATGTAGAGAGACCTGGTCTTAAATTAATTAATTAATTAAACCACAAAAAGCAAACAGCTAAGGTGGGTCTCAGGTCTGCACATGCGGTCACACAGGTGTACACACACACACACACACACACACACAAATGTGTTCCCTTTCCAGATCTTTCCTGTCCTTCCAGGCAGGCTTAGGCAGAGCTGCCTGTCCCCCAAAAACCTGGCTGTGTCTGGCCGTGGGCGGCACAGGGTAGCTCACCTTGGCACTGCTCACAGACCTTCTGTATGTGGCCACATCCCTGGATGTTCAAGCATCCCCTTCAACCCCAGGGGTGTGGAGCTTGGACTTTAGCTTCACCCCAGCTAAACTGTTTAAGCACTTTGGAGGGTCTTAGCATCCCACAGAGGTCTGTGTCCCAGGGGACAGTGTTTACAAGACACATGCGCTGGCCGAGAGGTGAAACTCGCTCTTCGTCCCCATCAGTTGCTGGCCCTCCTTCCCCTCTGATGGGAGCCTGGGCTCTGGGTAAGAGAGCGGGCATCAGGGTGGCTGAAGAGGCACCCATGGCCATGGTTCGGGCTCTGCTCTTCTCCCAGGAAAGCCAGAAAGGGTAAAGAAGTACACGCTGGGTGTCCTGGCATCACGGGGACACGTGACCCTCAGCAGCATGAAGCTAAGGAGGCAGGAGGACGGGAAACTCAAGGGCACCCTTGGCTACACAGTGACTTAGAGACCAACCTGGGCTGCGTGAGAGATGTTATCTCAAAAAGGAAAAAAGACAAAGACAAAAAAACAACAAACCAAGCAGGGACGGTGGTAGTGATAGGAACTCGGAGGCAGAGCCAGGCCGGAAGGAATCAGTGGGGATGTCCGCTGGCGCCTTCCACTTTGCTTCATGGCCTCTGTGGGGTGAGCGAGGACCCCTGCTCCACACACACTGCCTGTGATCCTCTACCTCACTGCAGCCTAAAAGCCATGGAGCCAGACCACCGCGACGGATGAGACCTTGGACGCCATGAGCCGAAACAAACCTTCCTGTTTTCAGGTTGAGTTGCTCTGGTGTTTTGTCACAGCCATAAAAAGAGAACTAGCACAGCCACCCCCATGGTGCTCATGCTCCTGACTGCTTGCCTCTGTCCAACAATGGAGGGAGCCAAGAGCCCGCCCGCCTTTCTCCTCAGGACTGTGAGACTGGCATTGTTATCCAGCTGGAACATTTGAGAACAATGAGGGTCACTTCAGGAAAACAATCTCTGTGTGTGTGTGCGTGTGTGTGTGTGTGTGTGTGTGTGTGTGTGTGTGCCCGAGTGCGCGAGTGTCAGAGCTTCAACAATACATGACAGGGAAACAAAGGGGGTTAGCAATGGATGAATAATTTTACCACCCTCTGTCAGGAGTTTTATAGATGGAGACGGGGAAAAAATGTCATCAAAGATGGAAGAACTGAAGCCCACCACCATGCTGGCCTAACTGGAAATGACAGGACAGGCAAGCCTTGGGGTTGGAGAAGTGGCCTCTGCCTTCCGCAGCCAACCCCATCACCCCACTTCTGTCAGAAGAAATGGCCGACCTCACAGGGCACAGATTTCTTCAGGAGCTTCTCAAAGACCTGTGCCAGCCCTGATGAGCAGAAAGTCTAGCCACAGAACAGAACCCCGTGCAGGTGACACAAAGTCGGAATGAAACGGTGCTGGAGAGATGGCTCAGATATCAAAGGCATGTCCTGCACTTGGAGAGGACCCGAGTTCAATTGCCAGCACCCACTTCGGATGGCTCACAACTTCCTGTAATGGCATCCAAAGGTTCCAACGCCCTCTTCTGGCCTCTGTGGGCAGCTGCATTCATGTGCACAGATACACACACAGACACAAACGTACACACATGCCACAAAACCCCTGCTGCAGGGTGGTCCAGAGCTCCTGCTGTTGGTAACTAGACAGAGCAGAGCCCCCTCCTGCAGGAAAGAAGCAAGCCTGTGGCTACCTCCTTCTGCTTCTCAGCTGTGCCTGCAGGGCACACAGCATGGGAACCCTGTGGGCAAGCACCCAAGGCTCACTCAGCTTCTGGGGACCTTTGTTTTAACCCTGTGGACACCAGAGTACCCTCAGTCACTGGGCACCCATAGAGGCTGGCATCCTCAGGGAAAAAAAAAAAATGCCAGGAGCTAACTTCTCTGCACTGGTTGGCCCAGCTTGATGCATCAATTCTCCGCCCCCCAGCGGCAGTGGGAAGAACTGGCCTTGGCAAGTCTGCGAGAGCTCAGCCTCCGCCTGAGGGAGAAGAACTTCTCCCCGAGCACCCTGCGCAGCCCCACGCTGTCCTTGCCACAGGGCACGTGCTGCCTGGCCACCGGGAGCTGCCCCGTGAACATCTCCCACCGGCCCAGGGCGTCCACGGCAGCGTCCACGCGGGCCAGCTCCTCCTCAGCCTCCTCCCTCTCCAGGGCCTGGATGCACGCGTCCAGCCACCGTCCGTACTCCTCGATGGCATCCACAGGACCTCCGAGGCCCAGCAACACTTCTGAGGCCACCAGAGAGCCCAGGCCATCCTCGGGCTCCGGCTCGGCCCCCTCGGGGAAGGCGCGACTCCACGCGTCAGGGGTGACAGCCTCCGACGGGCTGGTGGCAGGCTCCGTGTCACTCTCGCAGCCCACGCCTGAGTCAGCACTGAAGAGCAGGGTGTCCTCGGACACAGACGGCTCCCCGGCCTCCTGACCAGACCACACCTCCGCCGTCACCCGGGTCCAAGTGTGCAGTCTCTGTGGGAAGGAACACGGACTGGGGTTGCCGAGGTTAGCCAGGGAGCTGCTGGGACCACGCAGGGGCCAGCATGAGGCTGGAGCCACGAGGGCCCCAGAGTTGGGCCTATCTGAGGACTGGAGTCCAGGCCACAGCCAAGCCGGACCTCCCAGCTCCCAGAAGCACACCTTTTCACAGGCACTGAGAAAGGCGGCTGTTAACCTCGCCTCTGCTTGGAGTTAAATTCCATGAAGTTTATAGTTAATACGAACTTTGTGTGTTTGCGTGCACGCATGTGGGTGATGTGCGCATGCATGCCTGCATGGGTTCGAGAGTCTGTGTGTGTGTGTGTGTACAAGCACTCGAAAGTGTATGCAGGGGTGTGCACACTTTGCATGTGGAGGGCAGAGGCCAACGCCGAGCATCCTCACTTTGCACCTTGGTTTTTAGGACAGTGTCGCTATGAGCCGAGAACTCACCATGGTTGGACTGGCTGGCGGCCAGTGAGCTTCAGGGACCCTGCTGTCCCTGCCCCCACAGCACTCGACTTGGTAACACCCGCCTCCACACCCAACGTTCTACACAGTGCCAGGGATTCAAACTCAGGTTCGCACACTCACTGAACCTTCTTCCCAGCCCTTCCGAGGCTGAGGCAGGTGGTTCTTTGTGAGTTCGAGGCCAGCCTGGTCTACAGAGCAAGTTCCAGGACAGCCAGGGCTCCACAGAGAAACCCTGTCTCCAAAAAAAACAAACAAACCAACAAAAACATGGAGGAAGGGAGGCTTCCCACACCGAGCAAGTTGAGCCTGGACACTGAATACAGCTAATTTTTACACAGCACTGAAAACTTCACCTTGATTTCAACCAAAGGTGGATTTCAAGAGAAACAACAACAACAACAACAAAAAAAAAAAAGAAACCAAGCAGCATTCGCCTTTGATCTTGGAACCCTGAGCCAAGCCAAGCGGCCTAGTTTGCAAACAAGCTTTCCCACAGGGATAGGGGGGTGGGGGGGGGGGGGGCTTGCAGCAATACTGAATGCTGACAGCAGAGGGCGGCATCCCCTCGACAGCTCAGCCAACAGAGGCTCCACGGCTGGCGGGGCCCCAACCTGCTGCACTCCCCACTGTGTCCTACCGCCTCTGGGTACAGGACCCCCATCGTCCACCGCGGAGCAAAGAAGAGGAAGAGAGCGCAGAGATGGGGGCCTTCCCAGTGCTCTGTAAGTACAGCGCTTGGGGGGAGGGGGGAGCATCTGCCCTTGCCCTCCTCCACCCACCGCAGCCCGAGGTCACCGCCACCAGCCCGGGTGTTCCATCTGCCTCCCCGCCACCCACCCCCACCCCCGCAGGGACGGTGCACACACACGCCCAGGTCCAGCAACCTGGCCCCGCCCACTGCCCCTGAGGCTGTCCTGTGCCCCACACACTCACTCACCTTGTACCTCTCCAGGAGCCTGAAGCCCAGGAGGTGCTGCAGTTTCCGCAGGCAGATGGGACAGAGGTCCAGCGGCCGCCGGAGCGCCTCATCCAGGCTAAGCGCCCCCTGCAGGAGGCAGCGGAGCCAGCGACAGCTCCCCAGGCCCAGGAGGTGGCAGAGCTCATGGCAGGCGACCTGAGGGGAAATGGCACCGCCGCCTTGCCTCACAGTCTCAGGACCCGGTAACTCCCACCCAGGGATCCCCGAGCCCGCCAGGCAACCCCGAAAGTCTAACCCCTCACCGCGGCCTCCCTACTGGCTCCAAGAAGCCTCACAGCATGAGGAGGCCAGCCAGCCCCGGAGCCAGATCCCAGAACCCTGCAGGGAGAGTCGCGCCTTTGCGGCCTTGAACCGCGGGGTCTCGGGTTACTCTGAGGGGCTGCGCTCCTGCTCGGGCTGACTTCCCAGGGGACTCACTTCTCACCCTACCTGCCCCCATGCTCACCTTACAGCACTGAACCATACCCAGGGCGCTGAAGCACAGAGGCCGGCCTCCCTCGTGCGGCAGTGTCTCCGCGCCATCTGCTGCTGCCTCCAGCACAGCTGGGTCAGGAACACCGGGCGCGGCCTGCAGGAGCTCCCCAGAGAAGCGAGCGAAGCTACACACACCCACTTCTGGGGGAGAGGCCAGAAGTGGTCCAAGGGACGGCAGTGGCTCGGGAACCCAAGGTGAAACCACCCCGCTCTTCCCTGCAGCCCAGGGCAACCGGAGGAGGAAGCGGCCCCTTGGCTCTGGCGTGTGCAGTGGACTCCGGGACCAGCCCCTGGCCCATGCCCGGTGAGAACACAGTTTCAGGCTGGAGCACACACCTCACCCCTGGGAGAGAGCAAGCGCCCTGCACTGGCGGGCTGGAGCCACACCAGTGCCCTCTGGCGGCAGTTGCTAGGACCACAGCTCACCATGCCCCGGAAGGAACCTGCCAAAGGTGAAAGTCCAGGCATCATGAGGGTACAGGTCAGCCAGCGTGAGGCCCAGCACACACAGTGCGTCCCCCGGCTTGTTGTTCTTCAAGAAGGACAAGATGCCATCTGTGGGAAGAAGGCTGGAGGTCAGGGTGGGCAGACAAGCCTGCAGTTCTGGCTCCTGCTCTGGGACCAGCCCCTCTCAACGCTGGCAGATAAGCCACATCTGTGGTGGGACCCAGAACCCAGAGCAGCTACAAGACGACCCAAGGACCATGGCCTGGCCTGAGAGCCGGGTCGTGGAGCACCAGGGCCAGTCATTTCCTAGGTGACGAGAGCGGATCCAGACACAGCAAGGCCGTCACCTTCCACTTGCGGAGGCTGAAGGGGTGGTCAGGGGCCAAGGAGGTGGCTCCAGGAGTGAAAGGCTTGCTAAGCAAACACGAGTCTGGTCCCTGGGGCTCATGTAAGAGAGCCAGCCCCAGGGGCTTGGAATCCCAGCACTAGGAAGGCAGAGGCAGGCAGATCCCTGGGCTTACTCGCTGGCCTACCTGGCCCAACTAGGGAGTCCCATAGCAGTGAGGGACCTGTCTCAAAAACAAGGCTGTCAGTGACTGAGGTCTCGACCCCTGCCCCCCCACACACACACACACTCACGCACATACAGCAACAAGAGCCCACGAGGGAACAGGCAGCTGAACAGCTACCCACCAAACGCCCACATCCAGGTCTCTAGCCCCAGAGAACACGTTACCTCAAACTGCAAGAGGGCCCCTGCGGCTGTGAGTGCAGGTGAGGAGGACCTCTGTCTGCATCGTTCAGACAGTCAAGGTCAGAGCAGGGAGTCTGAACCACTGAGGGCAGCCGGAGGGAGAACGGGGAGACCCAGGAAAGCCAGGGCAGTGACTGCGAAGGGGGGAGGGAAGGACACCAGAGAGAAGAGAGCTGCCTGAGGATTTCTCTGCTGTGGACGGGGCCAGAGAAGTCGATGGCGCTGCAGGAACCTCCGAAAGAACAAGATGGAGGGGAACACAAGCGGGGAAAGCAGCTGCGCTGGGGAATTCTAGGCAGGAGCTCTACCACTGAGCCACACCCCGGCCCCTCACTGGGGGATTCTAGGCAGGGGCTCTACCACTGAACCACACCCCAGCCCCTCACTGGATTATAGGCAGGGGCTCTACCACTGAACCACACCCCAGCCCCTCACTGGATTATAGGCAGGGGCTCTACCACTGAGCCACACCCCGGCCCCTCACTGGGGGATTCTAGGCAGGGGCTCTACCACTGAACCACACTCCAGCCCCTCACTGGGGGATTCTAGGCAGGGGCTCTACCACTGAACCACACTCCAGCCCCTCACTGGGGGATTCTAGGCAGGGGCTCTACCACTGAACCACACTCCAGCCCCTCACTGGGGGATTCTAGGCAGGGGCTCTACCACTGAACCACACCCCAGCCCTTCACTGGGGGATTCTAGGCAGGGGCTCTACCACTGAACCACACCCCAGCCCCTCACTGGGGGATTCTAGGCAGGGGCTCTACCACTGAGCCACACCCCGGCCCCTCACTGGGTTATTCTAGGCAGGGGCTCTACCACTGAAACATTCCCCAGCCCTCTTTATAGTTTTAAAAACAGGGTCTTTGTATGTAGCCCAAGCTGGTCTCAGATTCACTTTGTAGCCCAGGCAAACCTAAAACTTTAACTCCTCCTGCCTTAGCCTCCTCGGTAAGTAGGTTAAGAGTCCTACTCTGCATTACCTGACCTCAATGAGCTTTACATGAACCAGATCAGATGCCCGCCATGAGAAAGCAGGGCGAGGAGAACAGCCCACAGAGCAATGAAGCTGGGCTGCCCCTAGGGCAGAAGAAACACTACAGATGATTCCCTACTCTGCCATAGGGTTCCACACCCAGCACAGGAGGCAGACTGTCCCCAGGGGTCACAGAACAGCCCAGAAAAAAGTCATGCCTTCATCATGCATGGCCATGCAAGGGGAAGAGAAAATCCCTCCGAAGGAAAACTATCCCAGGACAAAGATTCTCCTAGAAATGCTTTTTTTTTTCCTTCTGGAAATGCTTTTCAACAAAGCACTAGACTAGAGCTAGTAAATCTCAGTGGTGTGCCCTGTTAATCCCAGCACTCAAGAAGGAAGCTGAGGCAGGAGGATCACAGGTGAGAGCCAGCCTGGCCTACCTGAGCTCCTGCCTTTAAAATTGACAAAAGGGGGAGGGGCAGAAAATGTGGCTCAATCCCAGCACCCTCACAGAGCCTCCCAACTTCCTGTAATTCCAATCCCGGAGGATGCAATGGCCTCTGGAGTCCTGCACCTGCATGCATGTGAAACCACACAAACTCACCCACGCACACACCTATGCACATAAACAAAAATAATCACTGTTTTTAAAGCTAGGGGAGGGGATAGAGAAACGGCTCAGCATTTAAGAGCACCGGACCCAGGTTCCGCTCCCAGCACTCACATGGCCGCTCACACCAGTCTGTAACTCCAGTTCCCGGGAACCCAAGGCCCTCTTCTGAGCTCAACAGGCACCAGGCACGCCTTCGGAGCACACCCACCAGGCAAACACTTGTGCGCATAGAAGAAGCAAACAATCCTTCAAAGCCGGAATTGTATAAGTAAGTCAGCAGGGGTAGCTGGTGATTTTAATCCCAGCACCAGGGAGGCAGAGACGGGGGATCCCTGGGGCTCACTGGCCAGTCAGCCTAGCCTACTTGGCAAAGTCCGAACCAGTGAGAGACCCCGTCTAACAAAACAAGGAGGAAGCTGGGCATGGTGGTGCAAACCTGTAATTCCAGCACCCTGGGAGGCAGAGGCAGGCGGATCTCTGTGAGTTCAAGGCCAGCCTGGTCTACAGAGGGAGTCCAGGACAGCCAAGGCTACATAGAGAAACCCTGTCTCAAACCACCACCTCCAAAAAACAAACAAAACACACAAAAAAAGGAGGACAGCTCCTGAGGACTGATACCGGAGGCTGTCCTATGGCTTACACACACACACACACACACACACACACACACACACACAAAAAAAAAAAAAAAAAAAACACTCCTCCTCCCAACCTTTCCTTCCAGAAAGCTCTCTGGCTGCACAGTGGTGCCCCAGGCTGCCCCCACACCCTGCCTCACTCACCTGTATGAAGCTGGAGCCTGTCAGCGTCCCGACTGGGTCTTGAGGAGCAGTGTATGGAGGCAGCAGCCACCGAGGGCAGGCACTTGACCCGAAGGCCCAGGAAGAAAGCCTCCGCACAGCTCCGAAGGTGGTCCAGCAGGGGCCATCCTGCCAACCCCTCACTCAGATCTGAAGGCACAGGAGCCCATCAGCCTGCTGTGACCGTCTGCCCCGCCCATCCCGGCCCCTGCGGTGAAAAAGGCCAGTTTCCTGCCGGGGCGGGGATGGCAGGAAGGCAGCTGGCACAGGTACATGCTAACAGGCCCCAGGCTAGGAGAACGGCTGCCTGGCTAGGGAAGGGGGCTCCAGCTGGCAGCAGTGAGCCTGCACTTCTAACCGCTGCGGGGGCCCTGCGACCACTCAGTCCTGCCTCCATCCAAAGCCTGTGCCCCTCCCTCCAGTGGCCATTTCCTGCCCCAGATGCCCTGGCCTTCAAATCCCACCTTGTCCAGAATCCAGCTCTACCACCGGAAAAGCCCACATCCTCTCCAACCTCAGCGCCCCAGCCTGTGAAATGAGCATCCCCTCTCGTCAGCACCCACAGAGACAGCACAGGGTCTAGAGCAGTGCGTGTTATGCTGAAGTGATGGTCAGGACTATGAACACACACCTAGATAGTCGGAACAGATAAAGTGGGGGAATCCTAAAGAGGCAAGCCACTCTGCCCGTAGGAGTACCTAGCTGACTCCAGGCCATCTTCAAGCCAGTTCTGCCTCGATCTGTTTCTTACTGGGGGGTTAGGCAGGTGCTCTACCACTGAGCCACACCCCAGCCCCTCACTGGGGAATTCTAGGCAGGGGCTCTACCACTGAGCCACACCCCAGCCCCTCACTTGGGGATTCTAGGCAGGGGCTCTACCACTGAGCCACACCCCCAGGACCTGATGGCTCCAGCCCAGCTCTCATACCTATGGGCTGCAGGTAAATGTGTTTCCGGGCCAGGCTTTGCTTCCGGAGCTGCAGGGAAGCATGGAAGGTCTCAAAATCTTCAGGGGCCTCTGGACGGCTCAGGAGCCAGTCAAAGGCTGAGTGGATGAGCAGTGTGCTGAAAAGGGTCCGGTGGGGGTTGTAGGCCTCAGCCAGGAAGAGCCTCTCCGACGGGGAGAAGGCTGAGGTGTAGAGCTGCTTCAGGGCCAGGTCGCAGGAGATCAGAGCATCCTTCAGGGCCCGGGGCCCGAAGCTGAACTCCTGCGGTGGTCTGCACTGAAGCATGGTGTGTGTTTGGCCTCTGGCCACTCCTTTGGGTTCCCTTTCCGGGCCATGAGTCTCCCAGGGGACAGCCACGGTTTCTTCTGGAACGTCCCCTCAGGCTGCTAGAGTAAGCGCTCGGGGCTCCCAGAAGATGGAGACCGGACTGAGAGACGGCGTGGCTCAGTTCTTGTTCTGGGACGTCTCAGCCTGTTGACACTCTGCGGAGGACACACAAGGCTCCATGCTCACTGTTCTCAGCACACACGGCTGTCTCTCAGACAAGAGGCAGTTTTCCTGTAAACGGGAGTCAGGGTGGACCCACCTACGCTAGAAGGTAGCATCCCTCCAGTCAAGCCGGAGACTGCCGGGGTCGACCTCACAGTGAACGCACTGCAACCACGTTACCGGGACCCCACCAGGAAGGACCTTACAGTGACCTTACTGCGGAGAACATCACGGTTGTGCGCGTGCACGCACGCTGCTGCCTGTGGGCATCAAGTCTTGCACTCTCCACCTTACTTTTGGAAAAGGACTCCCTCACTGAACCTGGAGCTTAAAAGTTTAACCAGGCTGGCTGGCCACCTCAGCCTTCCACATGGGTGCTGGGGATCCCCATGCCTGGCGGTAAGTGCTCTACCCACTGGGCCACCTCCCATCCCGGAACTGAGGGAGGAGGTGCCTCCTCTCCTCACAGAGGTATGTCTCCATGGAACACCAACTCTGCTTGGATCGCTCAGAAGCATGGGACACGTGGGGGCTTCCACCCTTCAAGGCTCAGAGTGCTGCTTTAGAAAAGCCAGAGGCTGCTCCTCCGGCCTCCTGCAATCACAGAGACGCACCCTATCCCCTCAGAGAGCCACCCAGACCCTCCTCCCAAACCACCCAGGGGCTGTCCTCTGGGGAAGAAGGCAGCCCAGGGTCTCTCAGACCGTGATTTCGAGAGTACGAACACGGCTCTGAGATACAGCCCTAACCAGCAGGAGCCAGCTTGAGTGGCGGCCACAGGGAATTGTACAGGGAGCAAGCAGCCAGGTGGACTGGCAGAGGGCTTGCCAGGCAGAGTCCTCCCCCCAGCCCGGGAGTGAAGACTGTGGGTGCTTCTGTCAGGTCATGCTTGGCTCCAGCAACGGGATCCTTTGGGCTTCATGTTGCGTCTCAGTGCAGAGTAGTCAACTCAGGCAGGGACGCAGATGGCAGAGCACGAGAGAGCAAGGTGCTGCTTGCCTTTCCGGGCCCGGCATGGCTCCCGAAGTGCGCAGCCATGGAGGCCCTGCCGGCTGTTAAGCACCTGACTCCTCGCACATCTCACCAACCTATTTTTGTTTCCAGATGCCAATCACACCACCTACTTAGACTCCTTGTTCTGCCCTAGACTTGCACACAAACACAGCACCCTAGAGCCTTGCTGTCTCACAGTGGCCTCAGTTATGCTTTGAGGTTGTAGCTACTTCATCTTTTAATTCTTTCTTTCTTTCTTTCTTTCTTTCTTTCTTTCTTTCTTTCTTTCTTTCTTCCTTTCTTTTCTTTTCTTTCTTTCTGTAGTAGGTTTGGAACCCATGGCCTGATGCAGGCTGAGTAAACCTTATCCCTGAGCCACACCCAGCCCCTCACTGGGGAATTCTAGGCAGGGGCTCTACCACTGAGCCACACCCAGCCCCTCACTGGGGGATTCTAGGCAGGGGCTCTACCACTGAGCCACAACCCTAGGACCCAGAATTACCATTTCTGTAACTGAAAATGATGTGTATGCCATTTCTCTGGAGTAGCCCAGAAGGGTCTGCTTCACAGTGTCAAGAGGAGAAAAGAAGGGAGGCCCTGGTACCGTAGATGTCCTGATCCACCCTGGTCAACATCTTGCCCCCCTCATCTGCCATTCTGAAAATTTCTTTGGTGCTGGGCACTAGTAGCTCGAAACTTTAATCCCAGCACTCGGGGAGGCAGAGGCAGGCGGATCTCTGAGTTTGAGGCCAGCCTGTTCTATAGAATGAGTTCTAGGATAGCCAGGGGCTGCAGAGTGAAACACTGTGTCAGAAAACCAAACAAACAAAAAGAAAGAAAAAGAAAAAAGGAAAGAAAGAAGAAAGAAAGAAAATCCCTCAGGACCACTTTGTGAGTGAGATGGGTGTGTGTGTGTAGCAGAGGTCAGCATCAGGGTGTCTAACTGAATCTGAACTCACTAGTTCAGCTGGACGGGCTGTCCAGTGAGCTCCAGGGATCCTGCTGTCTCCACCTCCTCAGAGCAGAGCTGCGGTTACAGACGTGGACCGCTACCTCTGCGTTTATGGAGGTGTGGGGTCTTCGCCGTGAGCACCCAGTCCCGCCCTTACCACCATGCCTGCTGGGTCGGGCTCTTCAAAGCTTCCACACACCCCTGCCAGGCAAAGCCCCAGGAAATGGGATGTTTGCTGTCGGTGAGATGGATCTCACCGAGCAGCCCAGGCCCGGATCCAGCGCATCCTAATCGCGGGGCTGCACACATGTCCCTCACACCAGCTGACCAGGGCTTGCTTTTACCACAAGTTCGCCGGCTCCGCCACGCCCGTCGCTCCCGGTCTCGGCTGCTCAGGGCCCGCTCCTGTATCCTGCCCAGCAGTGCTGCCCCTGTACCCACCCACACGCTCAGAGCAGAGTGGCAGGGGGAGGCAGGCCGCAGAAACACCCTGCCACCTGCCCCATGGAGCACCATGTGGAGCACCGTGGCGCACACAGACACAGGCCCAGCCCAGGGCTTAGAGGAATGGGACACACCAGCTCCAGACAACACTGGCGGCTGCATGTCCTGCCTGGACATTTATTACCTGGGTGGCCGAGTAATGGCAGGACGACGGCCAAGAGTTCAAGGCCAGCACAGGACAGGCTATATACAGTATAATCCCAGCACTCAGGGAAGCAGGTGGGTGACTGTGAGTTCAAGGCCAGCCAACCTGGTCTACAAAGTGAGTCCAGGACACACAGGGCTACACAGAGAAACCCTATTTAAGAAAAAAACAAAAACTAAAACTAAAATAAAAACCTAAAAAAAAGCAAGACAAACAAGTAGGAAAACAAATGGCAGCAGAGCATGATGGGATGTGCGTGATGAGGATCAAAGGACTCGCCTTCCACCATGGACTGGAGGTTCATTTGACAAGGTCTGAGTTGGGCACCCAAGCAAGCCCCGCTGTCCCTTCTCATGTCCTTCCCTGAGGTCTGGTAGCCCGGATGTCAACACAGCATTTCCTCTCAAGCAGCCCTTGTGGCCACAGTCATCTTCTGGAGCTCTCAGAGGACACCCTACCCCACCCCAACCCCCATCCCCTCAGCCATGCCCGGCATCCTCAGACAAAAACCTCCAGGATGGTCGGTCTACCGTCATCCCCTGCGAATCATCACAACAGCAGCTGTCCTGCAATCCGTAAGCCCCGAGACCTCACAGAGCTAGAGATACTACCGTTTCATAGGGGGAAACTAAGGCACCCAAACACTTCTGATTGGTGATGGGTCACAGGGAGAGGCAGGAGGTCCTGGCGTCCAAGCCAGGCACTTCCGGCATGAGGCCAGTGGGTCTCAACCTGTGGGGTGCAACCCCCAGGGCCACAGGCCACACATCCTGCGCTCAGCTCCGTGACAGTAGCGATGCTAGCTATGGAGCAGCAGCGAACATAGCTGTGTGGTGGGCGTCACCCAACATGAGGGACTGTATTAAAGGGTCACAGCATTAGGGAGCTGAGCGCCACCGAGCTAGACCAAGGCCGGGCAGCACCCTCTCCAAAGACACGGCTCTTCTCCTCTGCTGCCCCACCAGAGTTCCCTTCCTCTGCGCTGCCTCCCTTGGTTCTGCTTTGCTCAAAGCCTGGGACAGCCTTCTCAAGCTCTAGCTTCCCAGAGAGGCTCTGTCACTCACTGTAGAAGCTCCCGACTGAGGTGACCAGGACCGGGTCCCCCCAAACTCCAGAACCCATGTTTACCTCTCTTTATTTTTATTTTTATTACGAGGCAGGGACTTAGCATGGAGCTCTGGCTGGCCTCATACTTGCCGGAGTCCTCCTGCCTCAGCCTCCCAAGTGATAGGATGACAGGCACTCATCAGAACAGCCGGCAGAGCCCGGCCTTGGGACAAGAAGCGCGCTCTGTCCCTTGTCATTCTAGAGACACAGAAAACACCCAGCAGCTACCGCCGCTGGTTCATTTGCTTGGGGCCAAATCTTCAAGGCGGCTTGAGCAGCCCCAGGGAGAAGGAAATGCAAGATGCAAAGGGTTTGGGGAGGGAAAACAGGGCCATGCAGACCCCACGCTGGCTTGTGAACCCCAAATTCCAACCCAGTTTCCTTCCGGGCAGTGAAGCGTCTACACTTCGGGCAAGTTCGGAGTCTCGTGCACCAGCTGTTTGGACTGACAGGTGACCTCACCTTCCCAGAGCTGTGGTGACATCGCCTGGCGGTTCTCACACCCCTCCCAGACACCCAGGCTGCCCAGGCTAAGGAGCAGCCTGGGCAGCCAGAGACTTCGCCTCTGGCCACATCCCACAGCAGTCAGCTGGTCCTAGCTTGGAGATGCCCTTCTTCAGGCACTTTCCCCAAGCCTGCTCGCCCCCACCTGAAGATGACAGGACTATGGCCTGGGCCTGGGGAACAGCCGCTGGCGGGGAGTGGGCACCCTGCCCCGTGGCCACCCAGCTACGGCTGTCAGGAATCCAACCAGCAGCGCGTGACACGTATCAAATCCCGGTACCGGGCTCACCCAAACCTCTCTCCAAGTCCACCCTACGCATCTATGCATCCTGTGGTCCCCGGCACAGGGGCATGCCACCACCACCCGGACGTCCCCCTGGCTTGCGCTGACTAGAACTACTCCGCAGCGCCACCCGCGCCCATCCCGGCCATCAGGTCCCCGCCAGGTCCCTTCCCGGTCCCCGTGCGAGGGGTTGCTCTCCGCGCGCCCCCTACCTCCTCGCAGCCCCGCGCTCTCCGGAGCTGCCCCAGAGAAGCTTGGTGTCCGGGTCACAGGGACCAAACCGGCCCTGGGGTGACGTCAGCACGCGAGGCAGTGACGGGAGCGGGACCTCGCGGAAAGTGCGAGGGGAGGGCGGTGGGAGACGGTGCCACACCCTCCCAGTGGCCCTCAGACCTCTGGTGTCGGAGCACGAGGGATACGGACACTCCGGGCAACGTGCGCTTCAGCGCCTCAGCTCACAGCCCGAGGAGAGGAAGCCGGCACATCCCAGGCCAGCCGAGGACACCGGAGGAAAAGTCAAGCGGAGCGAGCGGGGGAGGGCCGGAGTGGGAGGAGGGGCATTCCTGTAATCCCACAACTGAGGCAGGAGGATTGAGGGCTCCGGGACAGTCTGGGCTAGAGTGAGAAACTGTCTCAGACACGACCAAAGCCAAAACCAACTAGACAAACACACAAGCAAAAGCAAACAAACAACAAAAATCCCAGGCAAGAAGGCTAGCCTCCCTTGCCTGAGGGCCCGGATTGGAAGCCAGGGACGGCTAAACTGTGAGTTGGTAGTGCGAGCTCAGACTCCTCCCTCCACCTCCTGAGGGCAGGCCTTACAAGAACACCCCACCCGTTTGTGCAGTGCTGGGGATTGAACCCGGGGCCTGGAGAAATGCTAGGCGAGTACTCTACCAACTGAGCCACATCTCTAGCCCCAGGCAGTACTCTGAACCAGAACGTTCTTACAAGCTTGTCGTTTGTTCCCATTTTGCTGACGGAAAAACTGAGGGGCAAGCAGGAAAAATGATGCAGCCATGGACTGGAAGCCCGCCCAGCTAAGGGCCTCCTGAGCTTATAAGGTTCTCCTGCTCTTCTTATTCCTCTTCTAGAACATTCTTCCCCCAAAACACATGGCTCCGATAGGGATCTCAGGAGGTTTCCTCAGCTTCCTGTGGCACCTGTTACCCCGGGTAGACACCACATCGGGGGTTTGTCCTGTCCCTCTTCTTCTAAAGTCCATGTTCTGGACCCAAAACCAGGGCCTGGCCGAAAGCAGGCATGCAGTACATGCTGGCCAACTGCAAAGAAGGCCCAACTGCCAAATAAATTACCTCAGGCTGGTGTAGACCATTCACTGATGGCCACGTGGAGCTGGTTCGTCACTTAAACCTTTCAAAGCTGCCAGCACAGGGAGAGAGAGGGCTCCTTGAGAACCAAGCTACCCCAGAGACTAGAGGACAAGGGGCAGTCACGACCATTTTGGGGTCACATTGGTCATGGGCTCTGCTCTGAGACCAGCCATCTAGGTTGTCCCTGGGGATGTCCTTAGGGAACCCCAGAGCCCAAAGGCCATGAGGCTCTTAGATCCGCTCCCAGGGCCCACCAGCATGTCACTGAAATCTGAGGCCTCATGCCTGGCCTAGGCCTCAGCATGGCTACAGGCAGGACCGGGATCCCCACCCCCACCCCAGAGCCAGGCTTGGAGTCAGGCTTTGTCAGCTTGGCACAGCTGATCTTGGCCTAGGCTCTCGCAGGAGGAGACTCAGAGAGGGACTGTCTACACCAAGTCGGCCTGTGGGGGGTGGTCTTATGAACTGATGGATGCCGAGAGACCCAGCCCTGTGTGGGTGGCACCATTCCCTAAGGGGCAGTCCTGGAAGAGTAGAGAAGTTAAGCACAAGCAAGCAAGCACCTGTGTAGCAATTCCATCTGCTCCTGACAGGATGTGACCAGCAGTTTTAACTCCCTACTTCGACTTTTCCTTCTGTGACGAGCTGTAACCTGGAACTGTCAACTAAGAAACACCGACATGCCTCCCTCCCCCTCTTCCACACAGGCTATGCTGCTTTTTCATCAGGCCTTTTTTTTTTTTTCACAGCAACAGAAACAAAACTAGGACAGAGCATTGAGAGGCTCCCTGTTTGTTGCCAGGGCTGGGAACTCTGATTATAAAGTGGTGGTGAGCAGGGAGACTGATACTTTGTTTGTTTTGATTCAGGGTTTCTCTGTGTAGCCCTGGCTGTCCTGGAACTCACTATGTAGACCAGGCTGACCTTGAACTCACAGATCCACCTGCCTCTGCCTCCTGAGTGCTGGGATTAAAGGTGCACCACCACCACCTGGCTGGGAGGCTGCTAATTAAGAGATGTGTTTTGGGTGGAACTCAGGCAGAGTTCCAGGTGAGTGGAGAAAATAGACTAGAGGGATTAGTGAGACAGTAAAGGTGCTTGCCACCAAAACCCAGGCAACCAAGTTAGTCAGGTCCTTAGAACCCATAGAAAGATGGAAAGAGAGAGCTGACTCCAGGGGAACCAGTGACCTCTGCAGGCCTCTGTGGGCACTGCACACACATGCACATACACAAACCTCACCCAACACACATACACATAAGTAAGAATAAATATTTAAAACATTAAAGCAAACAAACAAACAAACAAAAAACCCCAGCAGGGCTTGGCCTTGCATGCCTGGCAGATCCATGTGAGTTCAAGGCCAATTGAAGACTGGGGGTGGGGGCCGGTCTCAGTGGAAGGTTATCCTCAACAAACAGTAAAGGCCTTATGGTCTATTCCATGAATTCCAAAAGAGGCAAGGCTACTTACTGAGATCCTATCTCAGCAATCCCCAGCTCAAGGAGAGAGAGACGGAGACAGATTCAGAGACAGAGACAGAGAGAGAGTCTCTTCCCCAGCGTCTGCGTGGCCGCTAACGCCCAGGCAACGCTGTTCGAAGTGGGGGGAATCTGTGCCCATCACAGTGACCCCAGGTGGGCCAGGCTTGAACACCATCTGGAGTGAGAAATGAGCATGCTGGTAGGAGAGCGACGGAGCCCCGTGTCTGCCATGACCAAACCACACGCCCAAGCTGTTTCTTCCCACCTGGCAGGGAAGGTTGAGGAGCACTGCAGAGGGAGCACGGTGAACCTCACTTCTGGCTCCAGAAGCGACAACACACATGTGCTGTTGTGAGCCAACCAGCGACAGGCGCTCATTCAATTTGGCAAGGAGGAAACTGCCTCACACAGCGTTGGCAGGACCAGAGGAGCCTGGCAATGTTCTTGACATGGCAATAGTCCTGAGTTGGGCAGCCCTTCGCTCAGCAGACACAGTGTGTGCCGGGTTCTGGGCCATGGGGCAAGGTGCGCTGGATACAATGCCAGCAGAGAAAAGGAGATGTAGAGGGCGGGGGCCGAGGACAGCATTTGAGGCCTGTGCACACAGATGGGCCAGCGGGACGAGCCAGAACCAAGGGGAGGGGAGGGTCAGGCCCTGAAGAGCAGCTGGTGTGAGTAAAAGCCAGAATGTGCTGGGGCTCCGGAAGATGCAGGGTTAGGGAGCAGAGTGTGGGTGAGCCCACATGGTAGGGTGACTGGGGGCCGGCCTCAAGGGCTCCCGAGGGTCTACCACTGCCCTGAATGCGGCCATCTGACAGTGACAGAGGTTGTTGAGGGACAGGACCAGGCAGGCGACACCGAGATGGTGGCGAGGGGGTTCAGCCGGGAAGTAGCATGCACGAAGCTCCGGGTCCCATCCCCAGCACTGCATAAAGCAGCCACATAAACCCTCACAAGGTGGAGGCAAGAGCGTCAGGAGTTCAAGATCATCCTCAGCTACCTAAAGAACTGGGGGCCAGCCTGGGTTCCAGATGACCCCATCTCAGAGAGAGAGACTGAGTGACTTAAGGTGTACTCAGATGGGGTAGAAGAGGAGGGTCTAACACTCTTCCACACCAAGGGGGTTCCCTCAGTTTCCCCGTGCCTCCCTAGCCACCAGCTTGAACAGAGCTCTGCCCCACCTCCCACCCTCACCTCTCTCTGATGGAGGCAGGCATTTTCCCGGAAGCCTTTAGAGAAAGCCCGGCCAGGTCAGCTGGAAGTGGGTCCCAGGGACCACGCCTTTGTGGGTGTCCAGTCCCGACCCCATCCTGCAGCAGCTGGAGACCCTCCTCAGGCCTGTGAGCAGCAGAAGCCCCCGGGCGTTAGAAGCACCTTGATTCAGTGATGCAGGGAATGCACAGGGCTCCGAGGCAGGCCCAGCCGGCCCTGGCCAGGGGCCAGCCGTCTGCTACCAGCCTGTGAAGCCGCCCTGTGAGCCGCGCAATTAGTATTCACACCAGGTTCCCCAGTTCTGGGATCCCTTGTTCCCCTCAGACAGCGGCCAGCGTGGCTAAGCCCGGGGGTGGGGGCCGGCCTCAGTGGAAAGTTATCCTCAACAAACAGTGAAGGCCTTATGTCGGGGTACACAGGGTGGAGAGCTGCCAACTACAGTATGGAGACAGGTTCCTGGGGCTTCCCGAGGCTAGCCCAAAGCTGGGCTGCAGGAGAGGCCTGAGGCATTAAGGTTAGGCTCTGTCTAATGTCTCCTCTCTCTATCTTATCTCTGCCCAGATCCAGCTCTCTCTATTATCCCCCCACAACCGACTCCCTTTTTCCATTTTGTGTGGTCAAGGGTTGGGAGAGAGCCCACCTGTGGCTTCCCAGACAGAAAGAGTAAATCCCAGGCACACAGAAGGATTCACAGCATAGTCCTTGTGCCCACCCCAGGCCCAGCAACATCGGTCCCTGTCAAGGTCCTCCTTGACCTAGGACTTCCTAAAAATGTCTCCCCAGCCCCCGAATTGGGACACCAACAACACGAAATGGCAGCTCATCTCAGGGTAAAGAGCAGGCTGCACAGTGAGGGGTGTCCTCCTATCCCACCCTCTCTGGCAGGGTGGGGTCGGGAGTGCTGGCTGAGAAGGGGTCCTAGAGCTTAGCTGTGCCCTGACATGGAGAGAGCCTCTTTTCACCCCTCTGGAGGCGGGAAGCCCCAACCTGGGAGGTGCAGACTGTGGTAGGAGTGGGTACTAATGAGAGAGGAAATGTCCAGAACAGTGGGTTGCTCTAGACAGCCTTGCAAAGAGCCAAGGCCGTGCCAGGCCCAGCCTGGCGTCAGCGGCAGACCCCTGTAGCTTTGTCCCAGCAGGCAGGCTGCACCAGGTAGCGCCCAGTGCCAGCAGCCTGCTGTGGGGCCTGAGTGAAGCCAGAGTCCTCTGGATGGAGGGACTCGAGAGCCAGCACCTGGCGGTGCACACATCGATGAGGGGCGGGATGAGGCTCTGGCGTTCACTTCAGGGCACCCAGGAAAACTCATTCAGGAGACCACAGGCACTACCTGAGAGCCCGCAATGCCCTCGCCTGGGCCTCCTGGTGGCCTAGGTACCTGAAGGGTAGGTTCACCAGATTAGCTTCACGGCCCACACAGATAGAAAGGCTGGGGGAGGCTACGAGAGTGGAGACTCAGCAGCACCCAGAAGGCCCCTAGACCCTGGAGAGCTGGCCCTGGGGACCCAGGCTTTCCTTGTCCTGTTTCACACCGTCTACGCTGTGTACCTCCCAGACACTCCTCTACCCTACCCACACACCTGTGATCACCACGGAACATCTGGTCGACCTCCAGATGGTTCCCCAACTGCCCAGCCGGCTCCACCTGATTTCACTCCCTTCAAGTCCCAGCGCCCTGCACAGTGACACCATCAAGCGTCCCTTAGTCTCTCGAGAAATCCCACCTTACCCCTGGAGCTTCAAGCTCCCTAGCCACCCGGCCCACTCCACTGCACCTTCACCAGCTCGTCTGTCCGGGCCACGTGCTCTCCCATTCCACATGCCACCTCTGTGGGCGGCTCTTCCGGCACCGCATTCTAGGAAGATGGGCTTTTTAACCCGCCGTGAGGGCCAACCTTGCTCAGGCCTGCTGGCTCTCTCCTGTTTCCCAGTCTCTTCACTGCTCCAAGACGCCAGCCCTCTGCCCAGCTGCACCTTCCACCTAGAGCACCGCCCTTCTCTCTTCCACCTGGCTGGCTCCCAGCCGGTACGTCAGCTCCAGGCCCAGAACCTGCCTCCTCCCAGAAGCCCTCCAGTCACACACTCCTGCAGATGCACAATGACCTGAGCAGTGGCTGTCTGGCCAGCAGTAGCTGCACGTGGAGGGTGGGGACAGCAACCACAGGCCACCATGGCCTGGTCCCTCAGCACCTAGTGACACCGGCACACAGCCCCGCCGGTCATCTGTTTCCCGTCCCTGTGCCCGCCCCGCAGCCATCACACGCAGAGCACATGCACACGGACACAGCTCCCTCTGGCATGCACGCCCATGTGTGTGCACACGAGAGCCCACATACCCGGAACACCCCTGACATGCATCGCGCACGCACCCCTGTGCCTACCCGAGCCCTCACTCACCGCACACGCGCCACACACTGCCAGGCGTGCTCCAGTCACTTCAGCGGGTGCCGGGAGCTGGGTAGTGCGAGCGGCTGCTGGCTGCCTCTGCCTGCCAGCGTTTGCCAAGCGGTTTCCATGGCGACACATCTTGGCTCTGACAGGAACTGATGTGTGGGGGGAAAAGGGTCCCACGGAGGGGGCGAGATGGGAGGTCTCTATGTCCTCGGCTCCTGGCACAAACAGGGGGTGTCCCACAAGTGGGCTAGGTTTGCACCCCTCAAGAAGGGGATCCTGAGCTGCCTGGCACAGGAGCGCAGACTTAGGTCATTCAGTCTTTCAACAAACCTCCTGGCGTAACCACTCTGTGCCGATGGCTGGGGCTGCAATGTTGTGTCTGATGTAGGTCTACCAAGGACTCAGGGTCTGAGGCTCTGTGTCCCCAGAGCCCCTCAGGAAGCCCTGTCCCAAGGAGGTCAGCTGACAGCCTCTAAGCATCGGAGAGGACACTGGGCACCCCTAGAAAACCCCTCCCTCCTCACCCTACTCCTCACCCCCCCGAGGCACCCGTCCTGCACTGGGGTGTTCGCCTGGCCCCCGTCCTTCACCTGAGGCCTGGTTCCTGGCTCACTGTGGCCAATGCAAGATGACAGGCACATGGCTCAGTCAGTAGATGATTTCCACATGAGCACGAGGACTTGAATTCAGACCCCCAGCACCCGTATAAAAAGCCAGATGCAGGAGTATGCCCCTGTAATTCCAGAGCCAGGAAAACAGGGACAGGCAAGCCTGGGGCTCTCTACAGTGCGAGACCTGCCTCAAAAGACAGTGTGGAGAGGCGGGGAGACGGCTCAGAGAGTACACCGCTCCTCCAGAGCACCTAAGATTCTAGCCCCAATACATATGGCTCGCTCGCACACACACACACACACACACACACACACACACACACACACACACACCTCTGTGAGTTCAAGGTCAGTCTGATCTACAAAGTGAGTGCCAGGACAGCCGGGGTTACACAAGAGAAACCCTGTCTTGGAAAACAAAAAGCAAGGGGACTGGAGAGATGGCTCAGAGGTTAAGAACACTTGGTTGTTCTTCCAAAGGTCCTGAGTTCAATTCCCAGCACCCACATAGTGGCCCATGACCATCCATAGTGAGATCTGGTGCCCTCTTCTGGCAGGCAGAATATTGTGTAAATAGTAAATAAATCTTTAAAAAAGAAAAACAAACAAAAAATAACAAAACAGAGATGTATAGTGAGAATACTGGAATTTTGGGCTCTTTGAAAACACAGAAATAGGGGGCTGGAGAAATGGCTCAGTGGTTAAGCGCACTGTCTGCTCTTCCAGAGGTCCTGAGTTCAGTTCCCAGCAACCACATGGTGGCTCACAGCCATCTACACCCTCTACTGCCCTCTTAGAGCACTAATATGCATAAAATAAATAAATAAATAAAATCTTAAAAAAAACAAACAAACACAGAAATAGGCAGGCAGAACACTGTATAAATAATAAATAAATAAATCTTTAAAAAAAAAAAACAGAAATATAAGACTATGTTTTTGTTTTAATCCCAAGTGTGGGGACATGGGGCATCTTCGAAACAGCTGACTACGATTTGCCCTGTGCTCTGGTAGGAACATGATTTTGCCAGCTGCAGACGGTTTTTGAGACTGTGTGGTTTGAGATTCTGGGAACTTTTCAGAGGGTATATAAATGCCAGGATCCCAAGAGCCCCAACAGCGGGTTGTTGGTTGCTGCTTGTTAAAGGAGTATTGTGCAGGAAGTAGTCTAAGGACGATGCTGCCCCCTTTCCGACCCCCGACTTTACTCGGGACTCTCTTTCCTTTCTTCTCTATTCTTTTTTTCTCTCATATCTAGTGTTAGGGGGTTGAAAGGGAAGAAGAAGGAGGTAGAGAAGGGTAGGAGAGAGAAGAACCTACAAAATAGCAAGCACTGAGGTGAGCAGTTAGGAGAGGAAGATTTGCAGAGGCTGGGGGAATAGCTCAGAGGTGAAGAGCACTGGCTGTTCTTCCAAAGGTCCTGAGTTCGGTTCCCAGCAACCACATGGTGGCTCCTGACCATCTATCGTGATATCTGCTGCCCTCTTCTGGTGTGCAGGTGCACATGCAGGCAGAACACTGCATAAAAATAATAAACAAATCTTTAAAAAAAAAAAAAAAGAAAAGGATTTGCTGGATGAGGTCAATGAGAAGCCAAGAACAAGGTGGGGCAAAGAAGTGAATGCTGCTGACTTGGGGGACATCAGTACCAGCAGATGATGTTTGAATGTGGCTGAATGTCCCCCAAAGGCTAGGGTGCTGCAAGCTTGGTCCCCAATGATCCCGGTGCGGAGGTGGCACAGACAGGAGGACCTCCCTGAAGAGATGGGCTCCAGATCCAGCAAGAGAGACCTTGTCCCAAAAAAAACAAGGTGGGGATGCTAGATCGATGGTTGGGGGCGCTGGCGGCTCGTCCAGAGGCCCCAACTTCATTCCCAATACCCACAAACACCTGGAGCCCCAATTCCATGGGATCCAATTCTCCCTTTTGGCTTTTGTGAGCCATCAGCCAAAGGTGCAGGAGGAGGGGAGAAAGACACCTGACATCAACCTAAGTCCTACACACACACACACACACACACACACACACACACACACACACACACCCCATGTGGTTAGGGGGTAGGTAGTCCAAATCCAGCCTTTTGCCTACGCATACGCTCCTGAATGAAGCTGGTTCCTCCTCTATCGACAGCCAGGCAATCCAAGGCCTAATAAAAGGACAAAAGGAATCCAGTTCTGTGTCCTTGCAGAACTTGCAGATTTGGCAAGGTCCAGCCTGAGGCTGAGGCCTGGCTTGGAAGGAGTTAAGGCTTCTGTTCCTGTGAACCTAAGTTTTTCCCCTCAAGAGTTCCAGGCTCAGGCTTCTGTGTGCTTGGTCTCTTGACAGCCTTGCCACAAGCTTGCTTCTCTTGTGCGACATGGCTTGACTAGCCTTATGCTGAGCTTGTCCTGCTGTATGATGCCTTTTTACTGCCCCTGCCCTATTTTTCCCCCCACAAAGTACGTAAGATGCTGTACTTCCTGATAAACATGCTTGGCTTAAGACACAGCTTGTGTGAAACCTCCTGAGCCCTCTGCTCTTTCTCTCTGATCCCTAACCCTTCCTCCTCAGGACCCCGTCGCTGAAGAATGGCCCGCTGGGCCAGCTCACTTGTCTACATCCACTGTTCGTGACTCAGGGAAGGTACCCTCAGGCAGGCCCTGAGGCTACGCTGTTTGGACCTGCCAACCACCAGAAGTGCTAAGGAAGCCATTTCACTTTACACACTGCCTAGACTTGGGTACGCTGCTGTAGCAACAGAAGAACGGGGACCCATGGGGCACGGAGGTGGAGGTGCAGATTCAGACCTCCAGTTCGAGCCCGGGGTCCCAGAGAGAAGTGTGCTCACTGGGGCTCAGTCAGGCCTCCCTGTCCAACACTGATGTTCAGGCTGGTTTTATGATATCGTGATAGAAACTGCCAGATTGGCTTGTAGGAAGCTTGTGGTACATTTTCTTGATTGATGACTGATGTGGGAGGGCCCAGCTCACTGTGGCCTGATGGTCCTGGGTTCTCTAAGAAAGTGTGCCAAGCAACCCCTAGAGAGCAAGCCAATGAGCAGCACCCCTCCATGGCCTCAGGCAACAGCTCCTGCCCCCAGATGCCTGCCCTGCTTGAGTTCCTGTCCTGACTTCCTTCAACGATGGACAGTGCTGTGGAAGTGCAAGCCAAACATAGTCCTCCTCAGGTTGGTATGGTCATGGTGTTTTGCCACAGTCATGGAAACCCTAGGACATCTGGTGCGGCCACTCCACTTCACAGACAAGGGAAGTGAGGCTCAGGCAGGCTGGGTGGGCTGCCCCAGCGGGCGCGCGCTAGCTGGGCCCGAGCAGGCCTAGAAGGCACAGGGGTTGGGCTCCCCTCACAGTCAGCAGCTTACAACAGAGGACTGCATCTACGGCACTTGAATTACTGGTCAGAGCAGTGGGCTGAAGCCTCTCTCGCCCTGTGAGGACTGTGACAGCCTGAGCTGCCCGGAAGGTTGTTCACAGAGAACTGACCCCGCTCCCAGAAGCCCTGATCTGTGTAAGATGACTGTAGCACGCACAAAGCTTTCTGACTAAGTAGAAAGCCTCATCCCTCGCCCCCGAAGTCAGTCAGAGGCCCGACTGAGCGCCAATGCTGTCAGCATGGCAGGCGCTGTGTGCAGTCTCCTCCGGGCATATCTGTGAGGAGGCTGCCGTGCTGGCTAACTGGCGTGCGAACATTCACCCTGTATGTGTGTGACACCATCCCGTGGGCTGTATGGAATTAAAAGGAGCAACCAGGCTGAGCTCCAGCGTTCATCTCTCTGCTCCCTGGCTGTGGATGTAATGTGAGCAGCTGCCTCCTGCTCCTGTCCCCATGCCTTCCTCACCGCGATGCACTGAGCCCTTGAACTGTGAGCCAAAGACAAACATGTCCTTCTTTGGAACACCCTTTTTCCATTCCAAAAATCATGGCAGGCCAGGCCATTCTTTCAGCGCATCTCTACCCACGATCTCTACAAAGGAGTTCTCTCTCAACGCAAGTGACGCTATAACGCTCAAAACATAGTGTCTGTCTGGTTTCCCTGCGTTTGTCAGTTTGACTTCTCGCCATCTGAGGGTTTGCCTTCTCACCATCACTTCATCAGCGCATGGGTGAGAAAGAGCCCCGCTGTCTCAGTTCCAGTATCCAGGACAAACTAACTGTAGCCTCAAGAATGTTTAACCAAAAAGGAGCATCCTGACCATCAGGGAGCGCTGCTATCCAGATGTGGTGGACCTTGTCCCCAGTCACCTATTGGCAGCACTGTGGTGGCTTGGACGAAAATAGCCCCCACTGGGGTCTTGGTGGCATAATTAGGAAGTGTGTCACTGGCCGTGGGCTCTGAGTGCTCTAGCTAGACCCAGCTGTCACCCTCTTTCTGCTGCCTGCTGATCCAGGGTAGAACTCTCCGCTCCAGCACTGTCCGCCTGCGCCCCCGACGCTAGCCCCAGCTAAATGTTTGCCATCATAAGAGGTGCAGTGGTCATGGTGTTTCTACAGCAATAGAAACCCTAACCAGAGAGACGTGGCACTTATCACAGCAACCGAAGACAAGGCAGGGCAGAGCTTGGTACCAGGAGTGAGGCGGTGCCGACAGATCGCCTGTCTTGACTGCAGAAGTGCTTGGAACTGTGTGCTGGAAAAGCCATCGAATGCTCAAAGCCTAATGGGCTGTTTTGTGGGACCTTGTGAGAAATGCAGGTGATGGAGGCCTGGCTTGTGGTATTTGAGGGGGGGAGTAAGACCATCGGGACCCATTCGTGCAATAGATTTAAATCCAGACTCTCCATTTCTGGCCAGCTGAGATTAATAAAGCAGCACCACCGAGATAAACCTTCTAGGAAGGAATTCTTGAGGCTCACCACACAAGAGCTGTGGTCCAGAGAGGGCCGGGGCGCAGCACAAGCTGCCAGCTCAACCTCAGGTGTGCCGTGAAGCAGGCCCGAGTCTAGAAGACCAACTGTGCGTGCTGCGGAGGGCGGAGCGGGAAGCCCAGGCCCTCTGGAGCCCAGACCACCAGGGAGTTCTAGATGCCGAGACACTGAGCTTTCACACCACTGCGTGTCCGTTTCGCTCTCCCCCTGATATGTAACACTTAAGAACAAATCATTGGGGGCCGAAGGGACGGCTCAGCAGTTAAGAGCACTGGCTGCTCTTCCAGAGGACCTCGGTCCAATTCCCAGCGCCCACGTGGCAGCTCACAACTGTCTGTAACTCCAAGATCTGACACCCTCACCAGTTACACATGCAGGCAAAACACCAATGCACCGAAAAATGAAAAAAAATAAATTATATAAACATCTTTAAAAGAACAAATTATTTTACAAAACCTTTAGTTGTGATTTTGAACTTCTGTTTGTTTTTTGAGGCAAGATTTCTCTGCACAGCCTTGGTTGTCCTGGAACTCACTCTGTAGACCAGGCTGGCTTTGAACTCAGAGAGATCTACCTGCCTCTGCCTCCCCGAGTGCTGGCTGGGATTATGGGCATGTGTCACCGAGCCTGGTGTGACTTTGAAATTGTAAAGTATATGAATTCTTTAAAGATTATGGGACTTTTTAGGCTTGGCCGAAAGATGGGGTAGAGGGAGCCAAAGGACCCTCTGTAAAAAGAACACAAGTTAAACCACACACAAAAATAACTTCAAGAATTGGAGACTTCAATGCTACCTGTTTTGAGCAGACAACAAACCACTTCTTTAATAACAAGGGAAGTAGGACTTTGTGGGGCTGGGGAGATGGTTTAGTGGGTAAAGTGCTTGCCATGCAAGCATGAGGACCTGAGTTCAAATCCCAGCACCCATGTAAAAATCCAGGCATGGTGCTGCTGTATTATAATCCGGTGCTGGGGAGGTGGTGACAGGATCCCTGGAGCTCACAGGCAAGCCTCCTCAGTGAGGACCAAGTCCCAGTGAGAGGCCTTTTCTCAAAAAACAAGGTGGACAGCACCTGAGAAAAGTGGGGTCACCTCTGCACACACACGAGGCAAAGGGGTTTTTTGTTTTGCTTTTTTTTTTTTTTTTTTTTTCATTTCTTTTTTGTTTTGCTTTTTGGAGACAGGGTTTCTGTGTGTAACCCTGGCTGTCCTGGAACTCCCTCTGTAGACCAGGCTGGCCTTGATCTCAAGAGATCCACCTGCCTCTGCCTCCCCAGCACTGGGATTAAAGGCATGTGTCACCATCGCCCAGCGAGTTTTTCTTTAGATTTGATTTCTTGGTTTTTTTGAAGCAGGGTTGCTATCTAGTCCAGGCTGGCCGGGAACTCGCCATTCTCCTTCTAAACCCTGCGGCCACAGGTGTGTTAATCGTACCTGGCTAAAATGTGGGATGTGGGAACTCTGTCTGTCCTTAGGGTGTCTCTTAAGCAGCTGGCCTTAGTAGCAGTCAACTTCATTCTCCTCTAACACACCCACCGTGGCCAGCATGTCCTGCAGCAGGGACTGTGGGCTCTTTTCCACGTGGTCACTGCTCTGGGCCAGCTTGCCCTGCAGGCCCTCCAGGTCCAAAGAACGCAGGATGGCGAGCATGGCCTCGGGCTCCAGGTCCCCTAGAGGCTGGCCCGGCTCACCTTCCTGCCACCTCTGCAGGGCAGCCTCCACTGAGACCGAGCTGGGGCTGTCCCCGGCCTCCTGGGGGCTACTGCAGGAAGCTGTCTTGTCCCTCAGGAAGAGCAGCAGGTCGCAGGCCTTTTGGGCGACCGGGCGGTCGCAGTCAAGCAAGGCACAAAAGGCAAACTCAAAGAGTGGCAGACGGCAGAGAGTTTGCAAGAATTCCAGGTGTGGGCCAGGAGAGGTGGCTCCGGGCAGACCCACTGTATAGGGGCAGTGGAGGCTGGGCTGGCCCATCGCCTGGGCGAGAAACACCCACGCCAGCTCCAAGCCCTGCACTCGCACCTCCCAGTCCAGATCCCGGCTCACTGCCTGGAGCACGGTGGCCACAAACCACTCTGTGTCTCGAACCACGTCGACATGGCCGTCCCTCAGCCACTCGGTAAAGACCCGTAAGACAGCCCTCCGAGGAAAGCCCTCGGAGTCCGTGGACAGGATATGCATGAGGTCCGTGAGCAGGCCCTGCAGGTCGGAGGGTTCCAAAGAAGTCAGTGCCATCTTGGCAGAATTACCTTGAGAGAAACTCTGGGTGTGATTGTGATGGGAGTGTCTGGATGGGGCTACAGGAGGGAACGGGCTGGGGTCCCGGACTGAATGAGGAGCTGGGGAGCTGGGCACTGGCCTCCATCTCTCTCTGCTTCCCGACTACAGATGCAAACTAACCGGCTGCCTCAAGCTCTGACCGCCACGGTGCACCCTCAGACTGTGAGCCCAATATACCCATCCTTCCTTAACCTGCTTTCTTCAGGCACTTTGACCCAGCAGCAAGAAATGCAACTAACACTGCTGATGAGCGGGGAAGGACAGCATCCAGGAGACGTGAGCCCATGGCCATCTGGGCTGGGGCCATGTGCCACTCAGGCCCCTTCCCACGTGTTCTGCATACAACCCTTCAGCCTTGCCCATGCCTTTTTAGGGGTCACAATGGTAAAGACAGGGCGTCAGGAAAAGCACAGGCATTGTGCCCTGCAGCCCCCGGCTCCCAAGTGGTCCCTCTGGCCAGCACGGCTCTCGGAAGCAGCTGTTACAGATCCAGCTGCTTTCTGACTCACGGGACTGACAACAAATGGCTCCTACCTGCTGGGCCTGCGGGTCCTCGGGGCTGGCGGGAGCGGCCTGCAGACCCCGGCTGGACAGCTGCCCTGCGGCACCCACCGCGCTTGCGCGGACGTAACTCTCAGGGTCTTGGAGGAGCTGGCAGGCGAGCGCCGGCACTTCGGAGGAATGCAGTGCCTTCCTGAAGTCAGCCTGACCTGGGCGGGGGGTCAAATACCACACAGCTGTGATGGAGCCCACCCAGGCAGTCTGAGAGCCCCGGGCCAGTGGGACACTTGTACACGGCACGCACACTCTTGTCCCCAGGGTGCTCACCTCCCCACTGTCGGAGCAGCTGTGTCAGGAACTCCAGGGCCGAGTCCCTCACCTCCCAACACGGGCTGCACAGGCGCTTCTGTAGTATGGGGAACAGCTCTGTACCAGGAAGGAGTGGTCAGTGGCCTCCAGGCTCACACTTCCCCAGGGACACCTTGCCCGGCCCCCAACTGCCTCCACCCCAGCACACTTCCGCACGGAGCTAGTTACCTCCGAGGAAGAGCAGGGCATCAGGGCTGAGATCAGAGCAGCCGGGGGCCTTGTGGGAGTTCTGGAGCCACCTGAGTGTGGCCTGGAAGGCCTTCTTTAGGACCTAGAATGGGACGGGCTAGAAGGTGGGGTGGGGACAGGCTACCCACGTCCCTGTACCATATACCTTTGCCACCCCTAAATAAAAGCACAGGTAAGTACACACTAGCCTCCCAGATAGCGAGACTGAAGAGGATGCCTTCTGAGGAGCCTCTTCTGAGGTGACGGGACTTCGCGTGGACATGGCACCAAAAACCTCCCAGCCCTTCCTTATTTTGTCCATTCTGCCTGGCTTGAAGTCTACACTTAGAAGAGGGGTATTATGCATGAGAGTCTGCCCTCAATTCCCTCCCTCCGATGGAATTCTGCGAATGGCAGACATGGAGACAGGAGGAATGGGAACTGCAGTCCAGCCTGGTCTATACAGTGACATCCTGTCTCAAAAACCTAGAAACAAAACCCACTGAAGAACAGACTTCCCCGTCGAACACTGGGTTACAGGTTATCATTCCTGCCCCTCCAGCGCCATCCCGGCCCCAACAGCTTCAGGACTGCCTCAGTGGAAGCCTCACCCCACCCTGGATCCCATGCAGCCATTGCTACGGGTTCTGAGTCTTCTGTCAAGGGTCTCTGCTCCCTCAAAGTCTTATCATACAGCCACAGCTGTCCTGGAACTCTTTGTAGACCAGGCTGGCCACAAACTCATAAAGATCCGCCTTCCTCTGCCTCCCAAGTGCTGGGATCTAGCTTGTCAGGGTTCCTTTGTAGCCCAGACTGGCCTTGAACTCATGATTCGCCAGTTTCTACCACATCTGTGTGTGTTGGGGGCTGCAGGTGTGTACCACTCCACCCAGCTAAAAAGGTCACTCTGGGCAGTGGCTCTGTGGCCCTGTCGGAAGTATTAAGTGAGAAGGTCCCTAGCTGTGCAGGCCTCCCAGAACTGATCTGAGGTACCGTGGGGCTGGACTCCGGGCTCTCAAGGGTCTTCAGGAGGACAGCAAATACCTCCAGCACCAACTCCACAGGGCCTGAAACAGACATGAATGGAGACATCAAGGGTCTTCAGGAGACATCAACCTGACTTCTACCCAGAGCCCACCACCTGGCAGGGAACACGGATTCCAAACCTTAAGCAAGCAGGGATAAGATGAGGGCCCATCAGGCCCCAGAAGAAAGAGAAGAGAAAATGGAACTCAGGGCAAGGGAAAACATCACTCACTCGTCCCCTGAGACAGTGCCCCCAAGAAGTCAAGGGCTGCTCGCTGGACACGAACACAGCTGCCCAGAGTCCCACAGAGACGGCCTCCCACGCTGGAGCTAGGGTCCGCCGAGCCATCACAGAGACGCAATATGGTGACCGCAGCTTGCAGCAGGGGCACCTGTGGCCAGGGTGAGGGGCACTGGGGCTGCAGGGAGGAGGACGGTCAGCAGAGGCCTGAGGTCTCGCGGCTCGACAGACACAGGCCAAGGCTGCACTCACCAGAGCCTGCAGCTCCTCCAGGTGGGCAAGAGTCTGGCAGAGGAGGCCCACACAGGCCGACTTAGAAGACAAGAGTACGTCCACCGTCAGTGGGCTATCCACAGTCCCAGCCAACCAGCCTGAGGCAAAGACAACAGCATCTCTGCAGTGACCACCATCCAGAGCAGGGCCGGGTCAAGCTCAGGGCCAGGGCTCGTTAGGGATGCTGTCCACCTGTACTTTTGGCTGGGGGGGCAGGGTAGCTCATTCTTCTTGGACTAAGAATGGAGGTCCCACCCTCTCTGCGTACCTGGAGGTCCAGGGGCCTGAGTGGTGGCTTTCAGGATACAGGCCAGGGGCTGGAGGAGGACTCCAAAGGCCTGGGTCCTCAGTTCCTGGGGGCTGGGGACACAGTACACGGTGAGGGTAATAGTCTGGCTGCAATCTAAGCATTCCCAGTGAGTCTATGTTGGCTAAGCACAAGAGGGTGCAGTCTCCCCTGAAACAGTTCCTCTGCAAGCTACTAGTTAGAAAGCAGGAGAGGAGGAGCCTAACCAAGGCCTGGGGTCTTGGCCCTGATGTCCTCAGGAGCAGTGTCTGGGTCTCAGGGGCCGCAGAGAGGCTGGTTACACTCCCTGATCACAGTGACTGGGAAATCCAGGCTTCTAGGGCAGCCCCCAAGTGTGCTCCCACTGTGTTCAATAACCTGAGATGTCCTTTTGCATAGTGTGATGGACCACCCTGACGAACTGAGCCTGCTCACGTCCTCAGCACTCTTCTTCCTGCATCCCACATTCTGCAGCCCATACCTCCACACATCTCGTGGAGTATACACTGTAGGGCTCCAGAAGCCTGGCTCGGCCATATTGGAGCTCAGCTACAGATAGCTCAGAAGTTAGCTGTAGCTCTGGGAGTACCACAAAAACTTTTGTTTCAAATAGTTCCATCTCGTGCTCACTGTGGTGTGGCACATGTTTAGGCAGAGGTGGAGATAGTAAAGTGAGTTCAAGGACAATCTGGGCAATTTTGTGAAAACTGACTCAAAATAAGACCAAAAAGAAGGCTGGGGATGAAGCTGTATGACAGAGCCCCTGCCTAGAATCCCCCAGTGAGGGGCTGGGGTGTGGCTCAGTGGTAGAGCACCAGCCTAGAAATCCCCCAGTGAGGGGCTGGGATGTGGCTCAGTGGTAGAGCACCTGCCTAGAATCTCCCAGTGAGGGGCTGGGGTGTGGCTCAGTGGTAGAGCCCCTGCCTAGAATCCCCCAGTGAGGGGCTGGGGTGTGGCTCAGTGGTAGAGCACCTGCCTAGGATCCCCCAGTGAGGGGCTGGGGTGTGGCTCAGTGGTAGAGCACCTGCCTAGAATCTCCCAGTGAGGGGCTGGGGTGTGGCTCAGTGGTAGAGCCCCTGCTTAGAACCCCCCAGTAAGAGGCTGTCGTGTGGCTCAGTGGTAGAGCATTGGAGTGTAGCAAATTCCATACCAGTGCTGAAGAGGGGAAAGAGACAGCAAAGGGAAGAAAAGAGAAAAAAGGAAGAGGGGAACAGGAAGAGGTAATCAATGCTTCAATACCATCCTACATGGCCCATTCTCACACCTGGCTTCCCAGTTTCCAAAGTTCCCCAACCATTACTGTAACATTCTCAGCACACCCACTCATACCAGTGTTGAAGTTTCAGGGTCCCCAGGGCTAGAGGCCCAGCTTGTGTGGGGCTCAGGCGCCTCAGAGTCTGTGCCATCATCTCCCACAGGCCACAGGCTGCGAAATTGAATACAGGAGACCTGCAGAAAGAAAATAACTCCTCCTCAGTGCATCAGTGCCTAGCTAGACAGCTGCAAACGTGCCCAGTCCTGCAGATGTTCCCTGAGGCGACAGTGCCTGGGTCCTCCCCATGAAGCATTGGCTACTCTGAGATACCACAGGCAACTACCGCTCACCCCCAGGCCCCCGCAGCCACCTGACCTGGCTACACTGAGAAGGAGGTCCATGAGCGAGTGCACAGCTGGAATGGGGTCTCTCTCAAACAGGCTGGCGACAGGGGGACTTAGCTGTTCCCAGAGGAACCCTGTCCAGGGGCTATGGCAGCGCCCAAAGGTGGTAGTCAGGACATTCAAGGCCCGTGTGACCTGCGGGGTGGCTTTGGAACGTAACGACTCTTCTACATGGCTCACAATCTTCCGGGCACAGACAGGCCAGGCGACAGACTCTGGGATGGGGGACCCTGGCGCCCCACCTTTCATGGAAAGAGCCAGGATGTGTACTAGGAGCTGGCTGGCTGCAGAGGCCACGAACAGGCTGGGGTCTCCCTGCAAGGAGAAGAGCGTGTCCACGGCCCCTGGAGTGGACACGGAAAGGTCAGCCTGAATGAGGAAGCCAGCAGAGAACACCTTCCAGCTACCATACCCTTCTGGGCCTCCGGGAAAGCACCCAGACCCTCCTCTGCTCCAGCCAATGTAATAGCCTTGGCTGTCCCAGACTCTCTGTAGAACAGACTGGCCTTAAACTCAAGAGATCCGCCTGCCTCTGCCTCCCTAGCGCTGGGATTTAAATTGTGCGCCTCCACCACTTGGCACCTTCTAATCAGTTCTAATTTGTTTCAGGAAAAACTCATGATCGCTTGACAACACACAACCGCAGGAGCCACCCCAGACTCCAAGAATCGAAGGTGACGATGACTCCACACTTCCTGTGTGCTCAACCTGACAACCCCGGCCCACCAACCACTTCCCCAGCCGAGAAGACTAGACTCAGAGAGGTTCGGGCTCCTCGGAGACTCCCACAGCACAGGCAGAAACAAGAGGCCCTGGAGGTGGACTGGGGCAGGGTGTGGGCTAAAACACTCACCACTGTCAGCCAGGAAGTGCAGGGCGCTGGGGTGCTGTGCCAGGGAGCACAGGCCCTGGATCCAGCCGCTGCGCACGCTGGGCACGCGCCAGGCTGCCCAGCTGAGGGCACCCGTCTCCCCAAAAAGCCCCAGCAACAACTCCCCCTGCTAAGAAGCAAAGAAAGCATCAGGGATGCAGAGGAAAAAGGGCTTTTTTGGGTTTGTTTTTCAGGACCGCTGGAGACAGGCTTGGGGTGTACAGCTTCAATCCTGGCATTCAGAAGCAGAAGCAGGTGGGTCTCTGAATTTTAGGCCATCCAGGGGTACATGGTGAGACCTTATCTCAAAAATGAAAACCAGGGACTAGAGAGTCCACCCACAGTTCAGGAGCACTGTCTGCTCCAGTAGAGAGACCCAGCTCAGGGCCCAGCACCCTCATGGTGGCTCACAACTGTCTAGATGCTGGTGCCAGGGGATCTGATGGCCTCGTCTGGTCCCCACATGAAATGCATGGATGTGGTCCAGGGACATACATGTAGGCAAAACACCCACAGGTATAAAAGTAAACACCAGGTGTAACGGTGCTCGCCTTTTATCCCAGCATCAGGGAGGCAGAGGCAGGTAGATCTCAGGGGGAAAAAAAACCCTCTAACAACAAAACAAACAAAAAAGCCACAGGACTGGTAAAGGTACCAACTGGTACCACACAACTGTTCCCAGACTCCAGCACCACAGCTCTGCCCTTGCGAGAGGAGAGAGGTCAGAGGGGAACAACCCAGTTTCTTTTCCTCCTTCTTTCTTTACAAGACTTTTATTATTTTTAAATTCTCTTTTTGGCTTTTTGAGACAGGGTTTCTCTGTGTAGCCCTGGCTGTCCTAGAACTCTCTCTCTGTAGACCACACTCACAGAGATCCCCCTGCTTCTACCTTCTTCCCAAGTGCTGGGATTAAAGGCGTTGGCCACTACCACCTGCCTTCTTTCTAAATTCTATGTCTGAGTGTGGCTCTGTGTACATGCAGGCAGGTGCCTGTGGAGGCCAGAAGAGGGCTTCAGATCCCCTAGAACTGGGTTTCCCTGTGTGGGGCAGGGGTCCATCAATGGAGACTACGCTGTTCCTTCCCCTCCATGTGACTGACTCCCGATTTCATGACTTTACTGCAGACAGGCATCTGGGGTCTTCGCACTGCCCATCAGGAACAGCTCAGAACATGGCAAGGATCACACAGCAGTGAGAACCGGAAGCCAGCCAGCATCATCCCTGGCAAGTGTTTCCAAGTAGGGGCAATGTGGGGTGACCCTTGGGTTAAGTCCTGGTGCACAGGCCACACAGGAGCAGGGCCAGCCACTGTGACCCAGGCACTGAAATGGTTCCTAATCCAGAAGGAAGGATGCCCACTCCTCAGGGGACAGGCACGTGGGACACAGAGGCTCACCTGAAAGTACTGGAAACAGTCTTCCTGGGCCGCAAAGATCCCAACAAGGCGCAGAGCAAAGGAGAAGACCCTGGGGCTCACGTCCTGTGGCTTCAGCACATGGGACAGTAACTCCATGAGGCAGGGGTGGTCCTGCAGCAGCTGGAGGCTGGACTCTGTGGAGAAAGGACATCCCAAGAGAGCAGTGACCGCGAAAACACTCTAGAAGTGGCTCACACATTCCTTTCCCTCAGGATTGAGTAGGCTAAGGGGGAAGGGTATTTGCAACAAATGGCTCTTAACTTGAATTCATTAAGGAGACCCCAGAGAGTCAATGACTCAGCGGTGGATAAAAGATACAGACAAGAACCATAAAGACAACAAGCAAAAAGCTGGGGCTATAACTCCAGAGAACCTATCTAGAATCCCCAGTGAGGGGCTGGGGTGTGGCTCAGTGGTAGAACATTATGGCAGCATTATGGCATAGAAAAAAAAAAGTTGAATTTACAATCTCAGGGCAAGACTTTTACACACCTGGGAGAAACAATTACATGGACAGACTACCCAAGAGCACAGCAGATGTGAATGATGAAAACCAATCTAATGAACAAGTAT